TACTGCTCCCCCCACCAAAAACAACTTAGAGGTGTTAAAAGATCTGCTCTACAGGTAGACTGTTAATTTTCACAGTGTTTTACACTTTGATTATGTTCTTTTGAAGGAACATGAGATCTTTATGTGTTTCTATTTCATTTCATTATCTGAATGGCTGATATTCACTTAGTGATCACCTGTATTTGAGGTGGATTCTCAGTGTCTGTATTAATGTCACCTGTATTATTACATTGGCTTACTTTGCTTTACAGCATACATCTTCTGCAAAGCATGATTGTGCAACAGTAAGCAGTTGGTGGTATGCATATTTCTGTGGTACAGAACATTCACATTGAGCTATTTGAGCCTTTTTAATCCTTTCAGGAAGTTTTATGCTAGTAAAATCTGTTTTCTATGTAGTTTTCTTACGCAACCTAGTCAGAAGACTTTCAATAGTACAGTTTGCTGTATTCAAGTTTTAAATAGCGTTGTTTGCAAGAATACTTGAATTTATATTCAGGTTATGATTTACAAAACCACTTTCCACCAGAGAGGTGCGAATTACGTCCGTGCTGTAAGTGAGGAAATGATTATATAGAGAAAGTACATTATTCTGCAGTAGAAATGTATTTTTCTTTTAAATATATCATGTAATAGATCTCAACTGCCGTTGAGACCTTGTGCTGCAGAATTACCATCATTTATGCGTCTTGACATTGCTAGGCCATCCTCTAAACATCCAATCCACCTATTAACAACTGGAATTTTATTTTTCCAGTATAATCATTTCTTTCACGAAACAAGCATGCAATAAATGAGTACATCACAATTCACAGAATATCCAGCTGTTTGCCCAACTGTTAGCACTTAAAAAGTCCCCTGTATTTTTCTTCTACCTGGCACCAATGTGCGTGGAGATAACAGTGATGGAGTCTGGACAGAGGAACTATAGATGAGAAAAACAGACACTGTGATTTTTATCAATCCCTTTTCTCCTGAAGTTTTGAAATGTGTTTCAGACTGTACATCTATGCTTAGGAGAGTAAAATACTATAGTATTATTGTAAGTTATTATATAAAATGAAAATGTTACAAACCCAAGAAAATTAAAGTAATGGTACTTCTAAATATATATTCCTTGGAAGTAAATCATAAAAAAAAAAAAAAGGAAAAAAAAAGGTGAAATAAATTATTAACTCTATATTTTGTCGTTACAGTATATTAGGTTTTATACTCTACATTATAACTCTTGCCTAACGTGCTGCTTTGTATAGGCCATCCTGTTGTGTCCTGAGGATATTGGTTACTTCTGGCTTACATGCTTGCAAAATAAGTTGTGAAAGCAATGGCTGTGTGATGTGACTGCACTTCCCTGTGACCACAATGGGGGTTCTGCACTTGCTCTTCTATTCCTTCAGAGGCAAAGAGTACAGGTAGAGATCTTCAACAGCTTGAATAGTCCATTTAGGGATCCATGATGCAATTCAGTTTTGGCAATTTGTGGAACCATAGAATGGTTTCGGTTGGAAGAGACCTTAAAGATCATCTAGTTCCACCATTTACCATGTGCAGGGACACCGACAGCTAGATCAGGCTGCCCAGGATCCCATCTAAACTGGCCTTAAACATTTCCAGGGATAGGGCATCCACAGCTTCTCTGGCCACCTGTTCCACGGCCTCACCACCTTCATCGTGAAGCACTTCTTTTTAATACCTAGTCCCTGTCTCCCCTCTTTCACTTCAAAGTCAATTCTCCTTGTCCTACCATGGGACTCCATGATAACTCCTTGATAAAGAGTCCCTCCCTAATCTCTTCAAGGTTTGTGTATGTATGAGGTTTATGTGAACTAATTTGTTACCTATGACAATTATTATAAGCATGCAATCTTTAAGGAGACAAAGATGTAGACAACAAGCATCAGATTGCACAAGCATAGTTAGACAATCCTAATGGTGAGCTTCATTAAGTGTCATAGGGAAATAGATTTGTTGGGAATGATTTCTGGTGTAATAAACTACCTGTGACTTATTATCTTCTTAATAAAAGTAACATGTAGGGCATTTCAGAGATGAACTCCATAAAAGTTTTGTTTTGTTTTGTTTTGTTTTGTTTTAACCTAAAAGCTAAATTGCACCAGTCCTTAATTTTTAGGATATGTAGGTGTGGAATGTGCTGAGAGGAAATGAATGTAATTCACCAAATTTGTATAAGATGAAAAAATTCACAGAAAAAAAAACAGAACAAAACAAAACAAAACCATCAGTCAAGAGGGCAATATTGGGAACATTATTTACAAAGCAAAATTATTAAATAAAAATATTATTTAAATTAAAATGCCAGTCTATTTTTGTCAGCCTCATCTACGTAATCTTCAAATGTCTAGGATGTAGTTAAAAAGAAATCTAGGAATGATGTAAGCAGCATCACCCTTTTTCTGTCTTTACTTATGTCATGACACTTTCTGTAATGTTTTACAAGAAAACTATGTTTCATAATATTATAATTGAAATGCACCAAGTTCTTTTACACTCTTTAAAAAGCCTATTTGGATGATAAGTGTGAAGGTCTGATATGTGAAATCAGTTGATTTCAAAAATACGTAGATGGTGCTTAGGCTGACGTCAAAAACTGGTGATGTGTTTACATTCTTTGCGAAGTACGTCACGATTCTTTCATTGTCAGCCAGCTGAAGTCACTCCAATTCCTTGCTCATACATTAACCCCTCAGTCAAGGTAGTTCTCTGTGCGACGGTGCAGAGGACAAACCCAAGAATCCATCCAGGCCAAAAGCATTTCTTTGTTCTTGATATAGCATTTCCAAGATTACTTCCCACACACGGTTCTAGGTTGCCTCAGCATGGCTGAGATGGTGGGAATGCGATGCCAGAAGCAACTGGGGCTGCTTAGGCTGGCACTGAGTTACACTACTTAAAAAGAAAAAGAAAAAAAAGAAGAAAAACAGTGACCTTTATTGAATTGCTGATATTTCCTTGAATTTGCAAGGCAGCATCAGGTCAGACATCTTCAAGAGGAAAGATGACCCAGGTAGTCAGTCTGATGGCGGTGAAATGCCTGGATTTCAAATTTATGTTCAGAACCATCTTGTTTGAATTATGGTAATAATTGCAGATGTCCTGTGTTCTCTTTGTATGTACTTCTTTTGTTCTTAGTATTTGAAATTAAATTGGTTCACGTTAGGGATTGATCCCAGTTAAAGCCATTTTAGAATTATTTTAGTCACAATGATTTTTGTAGCAAAGCCTGTTCTGGCCAGTTAATAAATGCACTACTTCAACACAGTAAGAATGCAATGCTTTCTGACTGTTGCCTTCCTCCTCTAGCCCCCTCACTGCCAGGCAGACTAACCCTGAGCTACCGGCCTCAGTAAGCCATGTCAAGTATTTCAGAGCTGAAGCTGGTTAATCACCTTTATATCTCAAAGACTAAACCCCTTTGGCAGCTCACTCAGTCCTCTGACCAGATGTTTCTCAGACTGGAGCTTGATTTTGCAATTTCTTATTTAGAAAATATAAACTACAAAGAAAAAAAAAGCTATGAATAGTAATAAATTATTAATCATTTCAAAGCTGCTAATGACTCAGTTGAAAACTAATAGAAAATGCCTCTCTCCACATTCACAAGGGTTCCTTAGAAATTCATTGTATGCAACTCTTTGCACTGGTTTATTTAACATCTTCTCAAGAAATTTCTTGTTCAACAGCTACTTTTGGCTTTTTGCTAACACTGGGAAAAGACAGAATTTCTTCCAAAGGCATCAGCACAATTATTCGCAGTATCTTTACTCATCTGCTCATTTGATTACGTTATTATCCTCTGAGATGGATTCTAATTCACCAGGGGCTTCCGCATCTTCTTAGGAATGTCCATAAGTCACGCCTTACGGGTTAGCCACAATAGCAGAAGGCTATTAACCATGGGAAGAACAACTATTTAAAACCCCAAGAAGACATATAAAAATATATGCAACAATGAGAAGGAAGGAAACAGAACTCAAAACAGGAAGGGGCTGTTGTTCAGTATCTCAGCAAAGGAAATGGAGAATGTAAACTGAAAGCTCTCATCAGCACCAGGGACACAGAAATGAATTCTTTGCACTGCATTGTGACTTTGATTGCTGCACTAAATAGCTTCCATGAGGCAAATTAACAGACTTCAGTGGTCAAAGGCAATAGCCTCCACAGATAAACGTAATTCACTTTTCACAAAGTCAGAGATAAGAGTTATTTTTTTTCCAACACAGGAAATCAATATTTAGTTTCTTTTCACTCTCTGAACAAGGCCAAATATTTAATCTAGATGGACACAGCACCGGCCCTGACAGACACGTCCTCCAATTCTCCAGCTGCAATGACTCCCGGTGGATGTAAACTGGGCTTTGCTTTTCTGCTTGGAGTGCTGGTGCATAGTTACTCACAGAAAAAAAAAAAAAAAAAAAAAAAAAAAAAAAAACAATCCATGGGTAAATATGTAACTTCAGAATACACAGTGATTGAAGTACGGACATTGAATATATCAGTGAAGCCACTCTGTAGCCCGGTGTTTGACGCCGGACAGCGGGAAGCGTAACAGCAGGATCGCGTCGGGTCCCCGCTTCTCTTGGACTCCGCACCGCCGAGGGAACGGCAGCGGTGGGTGACAGCGCCACGTCCCGCGAGCAGGCCGCTATGGCGGCCACCGGCGCACCGCAGCCAGCCGTCCTTATCGCCGGAGCGCGGCCGGCACCACAGCCGCCTATCGCGCGTCGCGCAGCCTCCGCCCAGCGGAACGGCGGCGCCCCGAGCACGGCGCGGGGCCCCTCCCGCAGGAGAAGCTCGTCCCACCCCGCGGCCAATCAGGGGCGCTGCCGGAGGGCGCGCGGCGGCGGTTGGCGGTCGTTGGGAGCCCCGCGGCCACTCGGCGCCTCCGCCCGTGCTCGAGCTCCGCCTCCATTCGCGGCCCCTGGGGCTGGGAGTCGCCGCAGACGCCATTTCCTCAGCGCCCCCGCGGCGGCGCGGCTGCATCAGCGCTGACGTGAGAGCGACGCGCGGCTCCGCCCGGCCCGATCCCCCCCACCCCCTGTGACGGGGGCAGCACGTACAGGGCGGCGGGTGAGTGCGGGAGGGGGCGGGGACACGTGTGCGCGCAGCCCGACCCCCTGCGGGCCGGCGGCGGGGCAGCGCGCGGCGCGGCGCGCAGGGCGGCGACGGCGCGCGAGGGCCGGACCGGAGAAAGGGGGGCTCCCCGCCGGCGGGGGGCGCGCACGAGGGGGCGGTGGTGGAGCGTCCCCGCCAGCCGCCGGGAGCGCGCTCCGCGCGGAGAGGGCCGCGCCTGTCTCGCCGCTCCGCGCTGCAGTTCCGCCGGGCGGCCCCGGGGAAATTACGCGCTGCCGCTGGACTCTCGCACCCCGGACCCGTACTGGCGGTTGGGGATCCCGCTCCGTGCTCGCCCATAGCGCTGGGACGGGCAGCCGGGGCTACGTGTCCTGTAGCGCTTGAGCGATTCCACTGATGCTGGCTCGTAAATGATCTGCTGCTTCTGCGGTGCCGTGCCTGGATGCTGAGGTGACAGGGAACGTGCTTATGCTTGCAGCCATAGGAGAGTCGCAGAACGGTTCGGGTTGTAAAAGACCACAAAAATCATCTCGTCCAGCTGTCAGTCCGGCCCCGCCACGCCCAGCAGCCATGTCCTGCAGCGCCACATCTCCGTGTTTACTGAACGCCTGCAGGGCTGCTGACTGCACCAGCTCCGTGGGCAGCCTGTGCCACTCAGTACTTCACCACTCTTTCAGAGAGGAACTTTTTCCTAATAGCCAACGTGAATCTTCTCTGGTGCAGCTTGTGGCCGTTCCCTTTCATCCTATTGCTCTATCTGACTGTCGCTTCAGTCAAGAAGCGACAATCTTGAGAGCGATCAAGTCTCCCCTGAGCCTCCTCTTCTGCAGACCATACAGCCCCCTTCCCTCAGCTGCTTTTCACAAGGCATGTGCTTCAGATCCCGCGTAGATTCCATGCCCCTCTTTGGCAGCACTTCGGAGCCTCGGTGTCTTTCTTGTAGTAAGGAGGTTGGGGCTCTGCATTATTTGAGTGTTGTGTTAAGAGCCTGAGAGGAAAAGGACAGGGAAGAAAAAAAGAAAAACCCGTTGGTAATTAGAAGAAACTAAGTATTGCAGTGACATCAAAAATTAAACAGGAACTTGCAATTGGGATCCAGTCTGCTGTGCTGTTGCTCACTGCACTCAACTTAGTGTGCTCAGTGCCAGCTGCAGTCCCTGCAAATCACAGCAGCAAACTGGGTTCCAGGCTGCAATACTTAAAAACAGTGCTGTTGTGATATGAGAGCACTGTGAGTGTTCCTGCACTTGCTGTGGGGTCACCACTAAATACAAAACAGGTGTGTGTAAATTCACATCCTCACTTTCCAGTCACTTCCCTGGGATTAAAAATCCTCAAAGAGATACTTGAAGCAAAGTCAAAATACATTTTCTAGGCTCGTATCATTTCCTTTGTAAGCAATCTCTGATGTATGAAGTACTGTTGAAATAAAGAAGTTATTTTTCAAGTGTCTCTGAGTATTTAATTATAAAGTCATACATGCAAAGTTCTACTAGAATTGGCTCACACAATGGAATTTCACCTTCAGACACTAAATACTCATTAATATTCACTGACGTCAAACTAACGACAGTGTTGGTGTGAAGTAAAATGATTTTTTTGTGATCTTTATTACAGAAGAATATGTCTTGATAAGATGTTCTCCTTGTCCTTTTATCTGTGGACAAAAAGTGCTAAAAGGTTCACACCTCTTGAGGTAAATGACTTCTCTACCTTTTCCTTTAACTAAAGTGTCAGTATTGTCCTGCGGGTGGTGCTGCTTTTAGCTGCTGGAGGAGCTTTTGGTATGTTAAGTCTGCATCTTTTATCAGTGTTTACCTGCCCCTAGCTGCTGCACATGGGTCACATTTACATTGGTGACTGTAGTAAATATGTACTAATCCGCGTTAGAGTGTTACCCAGTGTTACTACCTAGTAACACAGTTGTTTGGGTTTTTTTTAGGAGTATGTGTGTGTATGGCTGGGTACGGTTGCTGGAATATTGTTTATTAATTTTTAAAGAATCCAGCCTTTTATTTAAATTTATTCTTCCGTAGTGGTAAACAACCAAGGTAGAGTGTGTAAGAAATCAGTGTGTTAATACTGACTATAGAATTAAAGCTTGTATGTAGTGCATAGCAATAAGACAAGTAGCAATGGCCTAAAACTTGAACTTAGGAAGGTCGATACTAACATGCGGAAGAACTTCTTTATGGTAAAGATGACAGAGCAGTGGAACAGCCTGCCCATAGAGGCTCTGGAGTCTCCTTCTATGGAGATTTTCTAGGCCCATCAGGACCGCTACCTGTGTGACCTATTGTAGGGCACCTGCCTTAGCAGGGGGTTGGACTCAGTGATCTCTTAAGGTCCCTTCCAACATCTGCCATTCGCTGTGATTCTGTAATATAGTTAATCATACAGTGAAGAAAAATACGTTATTAAAGTAAGGGCAAGGACCATATCCTTAAAAGCCAATTGTTTGCTTAGTTTTACCTTAAAAGAGGAAGAAGGTTAGAATATTATACAAAAGATAGACTTTACTAATTAATTTAAACATGTGATGTCAAACAGTTCTGATACGCCCACACAAAGTGCTTGGCAGAAGGTGTCTTTTCTTTTACTCTGAAACTTCCAGAGAATTCTAACAGATTTATTCTTTTTTGGTGCAAAGGGATTGAGTGTGACAGATGCATGAAACTGTAGTTTCTGAATTAAATTTGTGCTTTTTTACAGCAGTCAGTATTACTGTTGGTTTAGTAAAACATAATGATGATCCTCTCCCACTTCAATGTGTTCATGGTTAAATGATATACAAGATGGTACAGGAAATAAAAAACCTATGCAGCTCAAATTACAGAAATCTGGGAGCTTGTGAGAGCGCACTGACAGTGATACTGGATTGGACTGTGAAATTCAGAAGTTCCTCTGCATGGTGTTGGGTTGCATGCAGACCCACAGGGGGTGATGTGGCTGTGCAGCTTCTTGCCCTGGGGGCTGCAGTGCCTGCAGGTGATGTTTGCCTGCGGGTCTGGTAATCCTCTCTGGTTGTATTTGCTGAAGGTTCTTAACTTCATAACATGTATAAATGATGTATTAACAGCCTACAATATGCCTTCCATTATCTTTCTCTTAGAAGTTTTATACCAAGCTAAATCCTTTAAAATTAATGAAGTGTTTGTTGTTATTTTGATGTTATAGGCTGAAGTTAGACCATTATATGGACCACATATGGTGAATTTCTGCAGCATTTTTTCTCAAGTCCCTATTTTCAAATATATTAGAATCACCAGGTTTTCAAAAAGTGGATTTTAGCTTGTGCAGAAGATCATTTTGCTATGAACCTGAACTTAATGGCTTTAAAACAACAACAAACCTTACATTAAAGCCACATACAGTTTTTCAGATTTTGCTCCACTTTGCTGAAGATTTAAAGTAAGCAATTGTCTTCATTAGGAATCAGAATAAATATGCACATTTGAAGATGGAAAATATATTTCAGTTCTTGAATTTTTCTTGTATGTCATGTTTTAATTATGTTTGCCATTTCACTGACATAGGTGAACAATGACAAGCATAATTTAATGTATGTAATCTTACAAAATGCAGTCTGTTCCCTGTGCTATACTTTGTGAAATAGTAGGAATGACTTCCTGCTGGCTGTGTGCTGCTGTTTCCATGCTACTAGCCACCAGTTACTGAACTGCAGCAGCTGGAAGAGCTTTGGGAGGGAGATGCTGATAGTCGAAGTAGAAAAATAAAACATTTTTTGATAATCCTCTACTGATTGCAGTACCTTAAGTTAACACTAAGAAAGTAAAACCTGGGTTTCACAAAATGAAGGCAGGCTCTTGACAGGTAAAGTTCTAGGAAGTGTTTTCAGTGAGATGAAAGTACTTGTTTTTTTTTTTTTGTTTTGTGTGTGTGTTTTCTTGTTTTTCTGTTCCCCCAGCAGTAGGTTATATGTGGCAGATGGTTTTGGAACACAAAATACTTCGTGGCCCATATAAAGTGAATTAATTCTGACTGTATTCCTGCCTATAGGAAGAGATTGCAATGAATGTGGTGCCAGCCCTCATGTGTTTTTTAATCTTCCCTGGTGTGTGAGCTGTTCTAAAGCTTATGGAGGCATTCTTAGATGAGCTGGATGGAGTTTGTGTGCTTCAGTCTGTGTGAATGTTCCCGGTCTACTAAGGAGGAATGCTTCTGCTTTTTCTTTGTTGTATTGAATGCATATCTGAAAATGGAATGATGTAATAAGATAAACATCTTTTTATTGAAAATTACAGTAGAAAACTTGGTGAAAATATTCTTCCACAAGTTGCTTAATTTGATGAATTTTAGTAGGCCTTTAATTAGATGATATTAGGTTGCATAGAATTAATCAGTGATAACTAAGAAGACAGGAATGTTGAAAGATGAAATGTACTAATAATTTTACCTGAATTGATACTAGCCTAGAGTATGTAATTTCTGTAGACTGAAGTACCCCAAGAACTGTAAGTGCTGAAATTGAGGCTCTGTTGGCAAAGCAGCCTGTTTAAATTTCGACAGCAGAGTATTCTGAGAGGGCTGCAAGTTAGAAATGTGCTTCTCTATCATTTAGCTGTATTCCTTTCTGACCTGTGTGATCATAGGTTACTGTGCAGGTAAAAGCAATGCTTTCATGTCATAAAAGGAGTTGAGTTTGTTTAGTTTGATATTATGCCATTAACTTTTAACTTATGGGACAGTTCAGGAGCCTCGGTGTTGGGCAGTTAACAGAGCCATTTCCTGGTCTATGCCCTGTCTCAGTTTATGGAAGAAACCCCAGTAGCTACCAGTTTGTTGAAACAGTGGAAGTTTGAGTTACGTTGGCTTGCCCAGTGACTGAGCCCATCTGATCTGAACTCATGAAGCTAGATTTTCTGCCTCTTAAAACCATAATTTTATTACTTCTTCCTTTCATCATCTTAATTCCTTCACTGACACAACACGTGGTGGGGAACACATCCATGGGGCCTGCTGTGTGGTCTGCATGTCTACACCCTGGGTCTTGATTCTGTTTGTAACTTGCACTGCTGCCATGGTGATGCTTGTGACATCGCTTGTTCAATGACACACTGTCAGCACAGAGAGTGGTAGTAAAGAGAGGGAGCCTAAGAGAACCTTGTTTTGAGACACATCTCTTCCATTATGACTCAGTGTGCCAAGAAACACGAAAAAACAATGGAGAGGTATTTGTGCACCTATGTGATAGATATATTTAGAAGCTTTCCCTATTGAGTTTAAACTTGTAACTTAAATTGAGGGTCAGAGAGTTATTCATTCAGCTTTGAAACTTGCACTCCTTTTAAAAGCACAAGAAGAAGTGGTTGAGGGTCATCTTGAGCCACAAGTTATTTATGGATGGTTCAAGCAGAAATCCCAGTCTGGGTTCAGTTTTGCGGGAGCCCTTTAGAAGGCTGTGCCAGCACATGGCCACAGGTCAGCTTGAGCTTTGTTTGCTGGGAGGTGTGAGGCACGAGGCTCCTACTGCAGGTGGTGCTGGCTGCTGTGGGAGCCTTGCAGCTTTCCAAAGGGCATGTTTGAGAGCTCATGGCTATATGAATGAAGATTTTACTACGGTTAAATTGGAAGAAGAAACTTCCATTAGTCCAATAGTTTTGAGAGAGATTATATATTTTCTGTTAGTTTCTTGCTGCAAGTATAAAATAGTCTGTTGTTGCTCTTTTCTACCTACACGCCTGATATACCCTTCGTACAGCGATGTTTGTGTATGCATACAGCTGTATTTATGTACGTATGTACTTAATTTTAGACGGATGACCATGGAAATGGTTGAATCACAGCAGGATGATAACGCAGTGGATTCTATGCCAGATAGAGACGTTGTTCACAATCGCAGTCAGCCAGACAAACATGAGATTTCCTCAGCATCTCAGGTAAGTTGGAATGTGGAAAGCTGGGAAGAGTCAATAAACTGACATCCAGAACTGTTACGGTTTTTTATTGTCTACTGCAAAAAATGCAACTTGAAGTTCTGATGTTCTCTAAGTCTTGGATTAGATAGGAAAAACAGCAAACGTGTACCAAAAAACAATGCCTGCTATATTTAGCAAAGCTAATATTACATCAGATCTTTTAAAGGCAACTCCTTTAGGAGCCTGTGCTTTTCAAAATGATCATTAGGCATATTTTTCAGAAAATTGTGTTTATTTTGCAACTGGATCTAGGGTCCTAAAGAGTTGAGGTGGCCCAAAGATCAAACAGTAGAACTGTGTATCTTGAAGCTGTGTTGTATAATGAAAATGAATAAAAATAGCCATGGTTCTTTCCTAGATTTTTTGTATAGAATGTACTTCATCTTGCAAGTGTAATTTTAATTTATGCTTGTTCTGTTTCATCTTCGTGCATCTGATGTCAGTGTCTGGATTTCTAAAATGTACGTGTTCTACATAGTGATTGTACCTGGATTTTTCTTTGGTAGTTAAGAGATAAAGGTGGCACGACAAGTTTCAATCATTAAAAAGAAGCACTGATAGATTCTGCACTTGAGAACGTTCTAGGCAGTGCTAAGCCTTGTAGCTTTGAGATGTTGTGTAGGCCCCTTAGAAGAACCTCCAGAAACCCTTTGTGAAATACAGGAACTGATGTAAAAAGGAAACAATCAAAACCATCTTAGAGAATTTCTTCCACATCAGAATGTAGAAGTTAGTAATACAGTTCCAACAAAGGGCTTAATTATTTTGTGCCATGTGTATGGTGTGTTAGGTACTAGACTTACGTTATAGGTTTATTTTCAGGAGCATAACTGGCTTTTTGTGGATCTTTAGTTGCCAAGTAGGCTGCAAAATGTTTTTGAATGCTTGTTTATTTTTGTTACCATTGGTATTTGTGGTTTTGATATCTGCATCATTGGGAATCCTGTCTTTTTTTTTTCTTTTTCTTTCCCTTGAATTGAGCATGAAGTCAAAAACTGTATTTGTTGTGCTTTGCTGATTTCACCCGTTCATTTTGCCTTTCTTTGATAGTTCAGGCCAAATTTTGTGTTTTAACAATAGATTTTACATGCAGATCCTTATCTCAGGTGGCATCTCAGTACTGGAGTGCTGCACAGTGATGACTGGTGAGGTTCAGTCATTCCAGGCACAGGCCTTTTGTCTTTCAGTTGAAGCTAATAAATCTGGAAGTGCTGCTGAATCTCTGTCAGTTAGCAGCAAAACAGAGCATATGGAGTGTGATTCAGTTTGAAGCCTCAGGAGTGCAGTTTGGAGTTCACACTTGCTTGTTCCTCACTTTGGTTAGAAGGCCTGAAGAGCTGAACTGAGCTTGCAGCTGTGTGAGAATCCAGTTGCCTTTGGAAGCTGTTTGATACAGAAAGCTTCATGCTTTCGGTAAAGAACAGAGGTATGAGCTGGAAAATTTCTCAACGTCTTTTCATAAAGGCTCCATGGGTTCTGTCTCATATATGTAGGTACTTGTTTAAAAGCAGCTCTACATAAATAACGTAAGTTGATTTGAAAGAAAACATCCTTGTCACATGGATGATAGTCAAACTTGCAACAGTTGCGTTGTTATTTAAAGTGAAATCAGCGTTCCATTTGCAGTATTTCTAGAAGCTGTATTGCACAGTATGTTGTCCTGTGGTCAGCCAGACAAATATACTAAGTATAAAAAGGAGGAGGAATCTATTTAGATTGTAGATTGTAATAAAGTACTTTCAGTTCTGTTTTGTTTGTTTGTTTTGTTTTGTTTTGTCTTTTTTTTTTTTTTTCCCCTTTAGTTCTGCATCCTTGGTAGATTCTTTGTATCACCTCTTGCATTTGTCATATTCTGTCTATTATTAGAGCTGTGCTTGCTACCTTGATCCAAAATATTGTTGGTTGACCTCACAGTGCTGGCTGTGAACCAGATTCAGGTCAGGATTTACAATGTGAGAACTGCTTTCAGAGGGATTAGAGGGACTTTTCTGATGCACAGAGTGCACAGCCGCTGCAAGCTGGGACTGCTCAGGTTTAGCATTTCAAGGGCACTCTCCTGTGGGTCTCAGCACCTAAGTGGGTTAAATTTTCCTCCCAGGAGACTGAGCACTGTTGAAGCTTACCACACGGTTGCGAATATGGTTTTAAAACCAGCCTACCAAGTGCAAGTCCAGGGCATTTTTCAAAGTAGATACTAGAGCATTACAAAACTGTAGCTTTGTCACTACTGTGCCCTTCCTCAAGGGTATGCTCTCACCAAATGGCTGGGAGCAGTCATTTGACTTCTTTACACCTAGGAGTTTCCTAATCGTCATTAGCTTTGCAATTAGCCAAAGCTTTCCTGTCTTCAGCTTTTCCTCACAGAAGCTACGCAGTGCTTGTGTGATGAGCCCTTTATTTTCCTGCTAGGTGAATTCGCAGTGGGTTTGCTCTGTCTTCTTTTTTTTCCTGAAGTACCTCGCTTTTGGAGTCCTTGTAGCACTCCGTTTCTGTAGCTGCAACAGAAATGACATGGAGCTGTGTGCATTGTACTTCATACTAGCTATGTTTGAGTTATGAAACATAGGCTGTGAGTGTAAACTCTGTAGTAGGAAAAGTTATCTGACCTTGAATGACAAGAGTGTGTGTGTACACAGTTCATGAGTTTGTGTACAGCTGTTCAATGACTGTGCATCTTGAAGTCAGAGGACTGATAAGTAACCTTTCTGAAAGAATGCATACCTCAGTGTGAAGATAATTCATGTTTGTTTTTGGGGGTGCTTTTTGCTTGCTATGTTTCTGTGCTTTCTTGGAAGAAGGATTGCTTATTTCCATACATCCGCAGTATGAACCCGAATTGCTATAACAGATTGTATAATTGGTATTTGTTGAAGTGATTAGACTACTGTAACACAGCTCAGACCCCAGAGGCTAATACAGCATCTAAAATCTCTTTGCTGTTGCAGAAATGTAGCTCTTACAAGGTTTGCTCGGGTGCTTTGTGTGTTAATCTCCCCTCACCCCCTGCATTGCTGAATGTGGTTGGTTTTCAGTTGGTGCAAGACATCCCTTGGAGGATGATGTCGTAGGTAGCATTGCTCATTGCTGATGTCAGGAAGCAATGTTGTGTGTTGATTTGTTTTTTTATTTGCCAAGGCTGTTTTGGTCAGCCTCCAAAAGCAAAAGTATTTTGGCTAGCACAGAAGTGTTCCATTTAAAGATAGTGCTAAATAAAATGTGAATCAAAATTATTTTAACATTTTTAACACTTATAAGAGAGATAAAAAATACGAAGTTAGATTTTCTAAGTCATTGTTCTTGGAAACAAACCTAATACAAAATGATCACAAATTTAATGTGTAGTTTACAGGAACTAAAATAACATGAATGTGCATGCTGTTTAACCTCCAGGTAATTGTGAAAACCCAGCAAGCAGCTATCAAATAGAGATGTTTAAAACAGGTATAAAAGAACAAACAAATCACTTTTTTGTTTGATCCAGGTTTAAAGATACCATTCTCTTCCCTCCTCCTGTGCTCTCCACTCCCTATTTAATCTCCTATCTGAATTAATAGGAACAAAGCAATTTCTCCTGTGATACTGTAAAATGTACTCTATGAGTATTAGCTGTGTCCTTCCCCCCCCCCCCCCCCCCCCCCCCCCCCCCCACCGTGGTTAGACTGAATAAGAAGCTTTTAAATGAATACAGTGTTTCTTAATTTTGAGTGCTGGTTTACTTTCTGATTATTATGTTCCTGACCCATAGTGTACTGAACACAGAAACTAATATACTGTTCATGTTGCATTGCTTTGTGTGTGTTGTGCTCTACATGTTCTTTCTGATACACTATCGAATCATATCACATTACTGCTGTCTTTGAGATCTGCAAATTGAAAGGTTAAGTGGAATTGCTTAATGTTTTGAGAGGTTAGCAAGCTCTGGGACAGTTCCGACTGCTCCATGCTCCTTCCTTGAAGCTTAGGGTTTAGGATGACGACAACCGTGCCAGACAGAAAGTAGATCATACTCTTCAAATCTTCAAGCTATTCAAGACATTCTGGATCTCAAATATGTATTTCTGATGATAATGTTGATATTTGTCTTATAGTGCGGGAGCAAAGCTTGTATATTTTATTTACACGTTGACATTTAATGCCAGCTAAGGAGTGATTGTTTCCATTTGAGAGTTAGAAATGCCTTCAATTGTCTTATTTCCTGAAAACCTGATCAGTTTACTACAACAATTGAATGATTACGCAGTGAATGCTGACAAGATCCTGTCTCTGTTTCCTAGAAACGTTGTTTTGTCAAGGTATTTGAGCCAATATCTGGTCTTCTTGATTGTAGCCAACAACTTTCTCTCGTCTCAAGAAAGGAAAGTGTATCAGGCAAGAAGCAACTTAAAAGTCATGGAATTCAAAAAAGGGAAAGAAATCACCTTCAGGGTGAATATGGAAAAATACGAAACTCTTTAAATAGAATGATTCTATTATTATAAATATCTTCTACATATTCAACGTTAATCATGTTTTTCTTCTCACTCATCAATTTTTACTTTTGGTACTCACGCTAGGTACATTATGGGGCTGAGAAAGAATGGGGAAAATAGCAGAATCTTAGATATTACTTAGGGTTTATTCTCATAATGTAGAAATTAGGGTTTTCTAATGTAGTCCACTTTGGAAAACATTGTTGTATAATTTTAGGAAGTTGTAACTTTCTTCCTTTTCACATTGAGTTTCAGGATATTTCATCACAAAGAACTTGAGAATAATCATAACGCTTTCCGTTTTGATATCTCTGCGTCTGTTAATAGAGTTAACAGTAGTAGCATAAATTTGAGCTCATTCTTAGTCTGCTCTGTTTCTTTACTACTTAACACATTCAGCTCAGTATTGATGATTGAGAACCGTGGGCTGGGCAATGCTGTGTGTCTGACCAATGCTAAAATGTCATCAGGAAGAGGGCTCGGATGTATTCCTGAACAGAACAAGGCCACCATTTTCTTCAGCTGGGCTAAGATTCATCTGTTCTTTATTGTTATATCAAAGTACTCTAACTCTGCTTTTCTTGTTACTGTAGAATATGTAAAGAGGATTTTTAAAACTAAAACAACTTGGCATTCCATGTATTGCTTAAATACTTCAATTTCTTCCAATCCTATAAATTATCGTATCTCTTTGAGACATCTATCTCAAAATCAAAAGTTGAAACTGAATTTTTAGCTCAACAAAGCAAAAACGGTTCTGGATGTGAGACTAAGCATTCTGCTCTGTGTGTTGTCAGTGCAACATACTTCAATGAGTTCTGCTATTTTTGAGTGCGTTACTTGAGGTTCTTCCTAACGCTAGGGACAGCAGATTTAGTCTGTGATAGGTTAGGGTTGGTTTTTTATTGAAAACGTGAAGTCTCTGGAGAAAAAGAAGAAAGTAATTAAAAAGGTTTTCAGTTCAGTAGAAGGCAGTTTAAGTTTCTGACATCATTTGGAAAGATACCATTTTTTTCCTGCTAAAACCAGTGTATTTCTGTGTGTGATAAGTACACATGCTTGAGCTGTTTTAGATACGACATCAGAACCAACTTGTTTTAGTATTGCTTCTAAGAGCCCTTAATGAAGTCTTCAGACACGTGACTTACACACCACGACTGTAACTTTTGCTGGTTTCTGTACCTGCATCAAGTGCTGGAAAAAGATCTCCAGCAGTATCTATCTCCACAGCAGTTGTCTCCTGGTCGAACAGTTCATGGCCAGGGTGTCGTTCAAGCCACGGCAGCCCTCAGTCATTCAGTCACCACGAATGCAAGCTGTTCAGGTCAGCTCTGCTCTTCTTTTTTCATGAATGTTTGGTCCCTCACTATTTGTGCCCCGTGTCAGTTCATTCCTACCAGTGCTGGGAGGTTTACTCACACAGTGTAGGACGGGGGGGTGGGGAGCAGCATGATGGCAAACGGCCAAGTGGTAGCAGCACGGCAGGCATTGTGTAGCGATTCCTTCGTGCTTCCTGTTTATCTGTTAAGAAACTGTGTGTTGGAACCTGAACTTGTGCAACGGCACATTTGTGTAATAGCGTGACCTGCTTTAGTGCATTTCGCAGTTTTTCTGTTTTGTTTGATTCGATGAACATCATGTTCTAATGAAAACGAGCGAGTATCTTTTATACTTTCTGAGAGCATCTGGATATAATGGAAGTAAACAGTTTTAAATGATTGCTTGTTGCTTTTGTAGGCTCTGTTGGATCGTGTGGTGATGCTTTTTGTGGGCGCATAGTTGTAAAGAGCAAAAATAAGGGCAGCTTCAAAAGAAGCACTTATTTGGCAAAAAGTTGTGTTTTAACGTGCTGAAAACAGACTGCTGCAAAATGAAGAATTATTTCCAGAGCTTTTAAATAGTGAAAAAGACTTGAGAGAATATAATTTTGCACTAGTTTGAAAATGTTTAGACAGGCCTCCAGTTCATGCTTTTCTTGTAGTTAGGAATATTTTTGATCCAGTTTTCTTAAAAACTGACCATGAAATGTAAGTTGAATTGCTTTTTGTGAGTAAACTTGATCATGTCTGCAAAGAGAGACCAATTAAATTACACCTGGACTGTTCTACTGGAAGTCATTGCAACACGGTGAAGAAAAGGTGTTATGCATTGTCAGTCTTCTAATGTTTGCAGCTTCTAATGTTTGAAACTTAAGAGTAGCTTTTAAGTATAGTAGATAAAAGTCATATGTAAGTGTTTTTCTCTTAGCAACTAGAAAACAAGAATGAAACCTTTTTGAGGTATTCACCATCTTAATTGTAGGGGCACACGATGGGATACGGTAAGGTTTTGAAATTCTAGTTCACTACTGACAGGGCTCAGTAGATAGCAAAGGACTTGTGTTTGGTCAAGCTTGAAGTCAAATTGAAGTTTTCAAAAGGATTTTTTTTTTCTTCTGAATTTGTTTCTAACTGTAATTTGCCAGAGTGAAATAATAAGCTTCAGCAAATAAGTACCCTTTAGTCTTTCCCAGTTTCTGTCATTGCATTTCTTAAAGTGGATATAGTTGGGACACTCACACAAAAATAGACTACTTTCTTCAGAGCTCAGAAGGAGGAATTTCTCCAGCATCTCTTGCCAACTGCTGTTGCGTCTTCTTAGGGGAATGGGAATCAACTGTTTGTTCCATTGTGTCAACTTGACCTTGCCTTTCCCAAAGGAGTAGAGATGGGAAAGTTGTATCCTGATTGATATTGATTAGTTCCAGATTTTGGCTTTGCTTTCATTTGAGCATGCTAATGGTGAATAATGTGACCCTACCAAAAGGGAGGGGGCAGGAAAAAGAGCCTCGTGAAGGACTTCATTACAAAGGTTGGTAGGCCCTCCTGTGATCTTCTTAAGTATTTTATCCTGCCACCTGGCACTTTCTCCAGATTGTCTGGCTTTAATTTATGTCTTGTCTATGCCAGATAGCAGGAGACTTGGAAAATGGTAACAATTGAATTAAAAAACAGACAAATAGAAACTGAAGGCTGATGTTAAAGCCTGTATGACCTCTCTCTCAGACACCTGCAGCTTAAAGCTGCTACAGTTTTTTCTTGTTAACCCATTGCTTTTTGGATGAAAAAATACCTGTATTGTGTTCCTTGTTCTGCTGCTGTTCTTTTAATTGTAAGAAGGTTTGCAATACAGATTTGACTTTCCTTTTTGCTTCTTCTCCCCTGCAGTGTATCAGGTTTGGCAGTTTGGGCATGACCTCAAAGTTATTTTTGCTCAAACGCAGAGCAGTGTGTTAAAGTTGGAAAAGTCTGTTTAATGGCTGGGAAAAAATGGCAGAGGTTTCCATTTGGAAGCCTTATAAACATGGTTGCTTGCTATTAGAACAAACATACATTACATTTGTCTAATTTCTTCTAAAAAATTAGAACTTCTGAATTTCAGTGCAGAAAATCTCTTCCTCTACATAAAAATGCTTCCTTTCTCTTGTGATTTTCTTACCCTTTTACCAAAGTACTACTGTTTCTGACTTCTTAGTCTGCCTTCACAATGAAGGGGTGTTTATGAATGGAATGAGAAGGTTAGAAGCCTCTAACGTCTTGTTTTCCTGCTGTTTGTCCTGGGACAAGTTCTTTTTTCTTTCCTCTGTGGACTAAAAACTCTTTTTGAATTATACTGCCCAAGCTCTTGGCTGGGCTGTGGAATGGTGCCTTAGTTGTCAAGGTTTATGACAGAGCCTTGAGGACCGATCCACCAGCAGGTCACTGTAGGGCTCTTCTCTCGGGTTGTGTTTTGTTTTCGGACTGCTCGGGCCTGGCATCTGTGTTACTTTTTGGGTAATGATAATAAAATTCTGAGAAAATGAGACTGTGTGAACTTGTCAAGAGTTTGTACAACTTGCATGGTATTGCTGAACAGCGTATTTGTATGGATGTGTTGATATGTGTAATTTCATAAATGTATATTTAAATAAACTACTTTTGTAAATAGTTTTGGTGTGATTGTGAAGAGGCTTCTGTACTGTATACTATTATTTAAGGTGCACTAATGCAGTATTCTGTATTTAAAATGTTAAATTTCAACTAATTCTGTAATATTATTAAGTTTAAAAAATCGTCTATGTTTAAGACTGTTGCTGATGTCATTCAAAATGTGGATTCCACATGTGATGTGGATTATTAGGTTTTTTTTTCTAAATGGAAGATGTCACCTAAGTGCTTGTATTGCTAATCATAGTTGGTGATGTATTGTAAAACGAGACATTACAAATCCTGTGATTTGTATTTTTTAAAAAGGTAGATAAACTTCCTGTATGCAACCAGAAAAGCTTTTTTTTTTACTTTTTTTTTTTAAATGAAGTTATGAATATTAGGAACTTTGCTATTACAGGAAGCATCGGTTGCAGATGACTCTGCAGAATCGGAAGGGATAACTGATACTCAGAAACGTAGGGAAATACTTTCAAGAAGGCCTTCATATCGGTAAGGACTTTTGATTTTGGTTTTGCTGGTTTTTAACTTCAGCTTATGTGTAACAGCAAAACTGTGATCAAAGGCAGTGACTTAGTTTCCCATGGGTATGGAATTTCAAATATGTCAAAGTATCTCTTTTTCTCTTTCAGAAAAATTTTGAATGAACTCTCTTCAGATACTCCTGCAATCCCAAGGATTGAAGAAGAAAAGTCAGAAGAAGAAGGACCTGGAATTTCTCCACTGTCCATGCCAAGCAGCCTGTATCATTCTAGCACAGGGCAATTCAGTATGTTTGCAAAGATACTGTGTTTTGTTGCAGAACAAAATAGGAACGGTTCTTTTTCTTAAAGTTCCATAATGAAATAGAGATGTCTTGCTGAGAAGAATGAGAACTTCCCTACTTCTAATTAATCCTGATTTTTATATTTCATTTCTCCTGATGTGGGCACGAAAAACATTTAGTCTTTTTCCTATAGTGTTCGTTGATTACTTGACTTAGTCCTTCTGGGATTCCTACGCATTAAAAATGTGGAGGTGAGGCCTGGGTGCTGTGCCAGATGTTGGCACTGGTCTGTATTGTATGTGAATGTGCAGTGTTATAAATCCCTGCGGTTTCTTAGCACTGTGATTTGCTGTGTATTGGTGTTATTCATGAAATAACAATTAGTGAGGTAGTTTTTTAAAGTGTGGGACTGGAGTATGAAATTTTTTCTTTTTCTCTGGCTGTCACGTTGTAACTCTGTTTTAACTGCACCATTAACCTAAACTGTTGTCTCCAGTATTTGATATTTCATCCAAAATCAAGTTCCAAATTGGTTTCATAGTTCGGTTCTATGGAACTTTTTTTTTCATTCCTTTGTTGATGTTGAAAACATGGCATCACTCACTCCCCATAGCTTCTTGTGCTTAATCATTGATCACCAAAGAGATGCCTTCCTAATAACGATTTTTTAAATTTTGTTTGATAATGCTTTGCTCCTAGAGGTTTTTTTTTACTTTTGTTTTAATACCTTTCTTGGTGTAGGCATGCTGAATGCGGGTATTTTTCCTTCGATATAATGACAGGAAAATTGGAAAAGGCCTGTTGTTTTCTGAAAAAGTCTTTTGAAGACAGAGGGCATCTATTAAAACATTAACAGCAGAATGTAAAAAAGATAGAACAGCTCCCTCTGTGCCACATGCTAGTTAGTCACTTTTCTTCAGTTATTTTTAATGTGTACAACTGAAGTCATTATAAAATCTGAGACAGCAGACTTTGCATATATCTACTCTTCTGCATAGAAAGTAATGTTGGTTGGACTTTGCTAGCATCTGAAGTGCTCTTTTCCATGCATTTCCTGCCATGCTAAATGGCAGTTATCCAGTCCAGAATCTGCAGCTCTCCTTGATCGAATTAATTTTATTTTGTTTACTTGTGTGATGGTGGTGCTTTGTTTGTTTGGCTTTGATTTAGCTTTAGAAAAATATGCACTCTTTCCAGGCTCTATAGAGTTTGCAATATGCTCTAGTGAGCTTTCAAATCTTTCAGGCTTTGGATTTCTTAATCACATATTGCTCTGGGAAACCAGACTTGTGGTTTAACTAGCAATATATTGCAGGAAATCATTCTCATTTATTAAATTAAAGGATGTTTTAGTTTGAATGTGCCTATAAATCAAAAATATAAATCATGGAGAAGTATGTAAAAGAATAAGAAATTCTCATTTTTTTCTTCCTTGTTCAAGCAAACTTTTACTCTTGAAAAATCAAGAAGCAGAGAGCATCACCAACATTGGGCTTGAATTAGCAGAATCCATAAAAAATTAATTAAATCTCATTTATATTAATTCAAGCCTGGCTTTAGCGTGGACCAAATATAGAATTCTGTTTTTTCATTCAGTATGCTTTATTTGCGATGTAAAATATTTGCAATATTTTTAAGAGAACTGTATTTTTTTTACTCATTTTTGTTTAATGTGTTCTCAAACGTGAAGAGATGTTGCTTCAGGATGTCAGTCTTCGTAAATACTGCTGATTCTGGCTTAAAAAAATCATTTTGACCAAATTCATTTTGAGAGCCTTGTCTTCCCAGAAATGGCTTCCATATCCAATTCATTACTTTGATATTTGATGTAAAAAATGATATTAAACTCTTCTTAGGTGCTGCTCATTGCTCAGGTGCTCAAAGATACTCCTTGTCAGAAAAGTTTAGATCTGGGGTTAGATTCAAGTGGTAGCAAGGTTGGTCATCTTGTAGTAGACGCAGTCCTAATTTGGAAAGTGTGGCTGTTTACTTCTGGTTCTTACAGTTGAAAAGCAGAGATCCACAACATTGCTGATCTGCTGTGCTGTTGGCTGCCCATGATTCTGAGCAACTGCTGTCAGCTAAACCCAGGGACACTGTGTGGGAATGCAACATTCCCTGTGTTGATTTCAGCCTGGATATGAAGCAGGAGCTTGCTACGTGTATCCATTTTAGCTTTGTTTCCTGTCAGTTGTTTTTCTACCTCTGCTTATCATTATTGTGTTTGAGTACTCTCTCCTTGGCCACAGCTGATTGCATGGGTTCTCTTGTGTATGCAGCCAGCAGTTTATAAAGATTTTTATGGTGTGCATGGCAATGAAGAACTGGTCTCATGGTGTCACTGTAGAGATCTGTACTGTGGCCTGCTTTTTAAAAAAAACCATATGTTACTGAATTTACTGGTTCCTTGTTTTTCTCTATTCTTCTCCATATTCCTGCATAGAAGAGGCAGAATAGCCAAAAAGGTGATCTGGACTGTATGTTGGTGTCTGGAGGCATGGAATGATTATTTTTGGAAAAACTGGATAAGTAAATGTATCTTAAAATCAAATATATTTTTCTGTTATCAGTGGTGATGGCTGTTCTTTCCTTACTTTACACCAGCCAAAATGCTGTGTTGCCATGGTTTCCAAATGCCATTTTCCTTACAACTTCTTGGCTTTGGCTTGTGGAAGCAGACGGGTTGATGGGCATGGCCAGCCAGATAGAATATCTTTCCCCGTTACATCCATCAGCAGGGATGTTGATCTTTCTGTAAGGAAAATATATATCTTTTCGTAAGGTGCAAGCCACGTAGCCTGTTTTGACTACAAAATGACTCTACTGGCTGTAGTTCTATCATACTGGTTATTGAATACTGGAAAAAAATTGTTTTCCTTCACCTGTGGTGGTGGCCTAAGAGTTATTTGCATAGTTGGTGTGTGGTGATATGTGTGCGCGTGTGTGTGTGTAAGAGAGAGAATCAGCTGTCCTTCCCTTCTTTTCTGCCTCTGTGCAATTTCGGATGTTCTTCCAGGAGCAATGCAGGGAAAATGAAAATAGATGGCAAGTTTTTTTGCCATCTCTTTGGATTTTTTGCTGTCTTTGGATGGGTTTTTAGCAATTGAGGCATTAGGAAATGTACTGGGAAAGAGCAGCTTTTAGTTTCTTTTCCCTGTCTAGGTAGAGAAGGGAAGATCTAACCTCTTTCTGAATTAGAGGTGTTAATCATATTCAAAAAGTTGTGTTATTTTCATCTTCAGTTCTAGCTAGAGGAGAAGCTGCCACTTACATCCACCTGCATCATGTACAAGACCAGGGAATGTCTGGTAATATTGTATAGCCTTCTGTGAAGCCACAGTTTTGAGCAAAGGTCCAATACAAGAAATACCTGTGTTGTGGTTGGGCTTAGGAGAATTACTAGGCTGAGGAGGAATGTCATGATCTTAATATGATAGGAATCAGTCCTGTAGGGGAAATGGTTACCGAAGTTACATTCACTCTTGTTTTGAAAGTATTGGGTCATGAATTGAATCAACAATTGAACTGATTTTTATATATCTATTTATTTATTTGATGTGATATGCAGCTGTGATGGTAAAGGCATACTGCTAACTCTTGTATGAGTTCAGTGTTTAAGTAAACGTCCCAGGGAGGTGGAGGTGATGGTGGCATTCTGCTGGGAAGTGCACGTGCCACTGAGAGCCTGCAGTTGCCCTGCTGTTGTCATGAACGACAGAGAGACAGTAGTCCATTTCTCTTTTCTCTGATCTGTCCCCAAATGGGGCATTTTCTGCTTTGAAGGACAAACAAAGGCATCGTCTTGCTTACTTATTTCTTTTTATGTTATGACTTACGGAGCTTGCATTAGTGTGCATCCAGTTCATTGTCGTGTATTCTTCACTCCAAGGGTGGGACAGGAGGCCATGCTGAACTTGTTGTGGATAAGGCTCAGGGCTTCTTTCAGCCTAAGAGGAATTCCCCATTCTTCCCCAAAAGAAAAGTGTTTAGCTGCAGAGATTTGGCCTTATGCTTTTAAAGAAATTATCTGAGGTTTTAGTAGATTGCTACTGTTCTACAATTCACTAGAAACAGTTGAGTAATCCACTAATCTCAAGACATCTTCATCTACATGGAATCATCTGTTATCAACTGTCCACCTTCAAAATTTATGTGGATATCTAACAAATCACATCAGATGCCCAGGACGGTCAGGAATGTCACCATCAAGTATTGCGAACCTGACCCTAAAATCAAAGGAGTTATCAGTCCTGAATCAGTAGTTGTGTATAGTGTTTCTTACACCACTTCAAATACAATGATGTTTGTAGTTTTAAGTAGCTTTCTGAGGAGAAATAAGTTAATAGCTTCTTGGGAATTGGGTTCTCTTTTAAATGTTCCCGGAACATTTTTTTCTGTTCTTCTGAGGACAATGCTAATTTCAAGAGGAACATACAATTAACAAACTGCAGGAAATTTTGTGTTTGTTTGAATACTTAACCAGCTGATTACACAGCATTATTTTTTATGGGGTGTGTGGGAACTGCTGAGTCATGGCCTGATTGAACACCTGAGGTGAGCAATGAGTCAGCCATGGGAGCACAGGTGAAGGCAATTCTCCTGTGCTGCTGGAAGGGCTGGAGCCTGGCTGCACCTCTCCTAGACCCATTTAAGAGCTGACTGCCAGAGGGGAAGGATCTCTTCTGGAGATCTCTTTGGAGTTTTACAGTGAGCCCAGGATGAGAGTAAGCGTTCTATCTATTCTCTTTTTGTTTAGTCAGACTTTCTTGTTTATTTTGTAATTGTAACGTTTGTATACCCATTGATTTTACAGTGGGGAAAGTGTATTTTTCTTACTGTTGACCAAATGGAAGCAGAGCTTTGTTCTGTTCCTCTTTTTATGTAAGAATCTGAGCAGTTTTATAGGACTTGGAAAAATGTTGGTGGCCTAAACTTCCACTTAAACTAAGGAAAGGAGGTGGAGCAAGGGCAAGATGAATTCTTGTTCTTCTCTCAAGGCAACCTTGGTTTTATGTTGTGATTTGATAAAGAGGTTTTTTTTGAAATAACCTTTTAATACTAGTATTTAAAACTTTTGTTCTTTGTGGCTAGGAGTTACTAGTCTGTTTATTTGTTTTCACTTTGTATTAAAATTACTATAGGACTATTAATATTGCTGAACATACAGTGGAAATACGTGGGCTTCTGTTGCTTTTTTTTAGGTTTTTTGTTTTTTTTTTTTTTTTCCGGTTAGACACATTCATGTACTACATAACAGGCATTATGTTTGAGGACAGCAGCATTAAGGTTATACAATTAAAGAAAAAAAATATTTAAATACAGTTGCTCCTTAAGGAAATAGGAAACCCACAGTCTTAGCAAAACTATGATTATTTTCAAAAGGAAAATGCATTTCAGCGTGTTGTACATCTTTCTATTGCCTAACCTGCCTTTTTCTTTTTATGTTCAGTTACTATAACTCCAGGTGGTACAATCCAGATTTCTAATCCCCCTTCTGATGGTGCCCAGGGACTGCACACGTTAACAATGACAAATTCAGGAGCTCCTCAGCCAGGTGCTACCATTGTGCAATACGCAGCACACTCATCTGATGGTACACAACAGTTTTTTGTTCCTGGAAGCCAACTTGTTGTTCAAGGTATAGTTTATTGCATTTTTTTTTATATGAAACATTTATTCTTAGTAGACTTTTAGTTTTGTGTTCACAGTATTGCACTATGAAATGTTGTTTATATATACCAGGATAGAAGAGAGTCTTAGAAGAAGACTGAGTTTCTCTCTTTGGGAAAGCAGCCATTTCTGTGGATCAAAAAAGCTACTATGAGAAGGAAATGACAGGATAAAATTACCCTCTGCTTTTAATTTCCTTGTCCGGACTTCAAGCGACATGTTTAATTGAAGTAAAGACACTTTTGTAGACTCCCTCATCATCTCAGTTCAAACTGTATCTCATTTAATATGTAAAACTATTTTGGTTGTTTTTTTTTTTTTTTTTCCCAGCAGTTTCAGTCTTCATACAGCGCAGGTTCTGAAGTTACTTGGAAGTCTTTAAGGCTATTTTTAGGGCAGAATTTCCTTGCAACTTTTAACTTTCTGTTATTAAAAAGGAGATCCTGTCTTGAAGCTAATTTTCTCCCTGAGTTTTTCTACTTCTTATGCTCTGTAAAATATACACATGTGAATTAGTGAATTCTCAAGCCTTCCTATAGTTTATCCAGAGTTTTCTTTCTGTTCACTGTTCCCACTCCTTCAGAAGGGCTGAAGGAGATATGAACCAAGCATATCTTGGATTCTGACCAATACCAAGGAAAGTGAAGTTGGGGTTTTAAGTTACTTTCAGGAAATTTTCTGGAATCAGGTACAAGGTCTTCTGTATAGAGACACGAAAATATTGGCTGCTATGGAGCCGTATGCTAAGTAGGTATTCAGAGTGGATAAAGGTTATTGACTACATACTGATGGATACAGAATCTTCTAGTCCAAATTCCTTGCAGTGGGCAGGGATACTTCCTACTGGAGTGGGTTGCCCAAAGCTCAGGCCTTGTACAGCTCCAGGGATGTTCCACCACTCCACTGGTGACCTGTTCCAGTGCCTCCCTGTTCTCTGAGTAAACATTTTCTCCTTTGGATCTAATCTGAACCTACCTTGTTTTAGTCTGAGATAAACGGAGAAGTCTGGGTTAAGAATTTTTTCACCCTAGTGTAGGTGTTTAGAGTAAGTTTTGTCTTTAAGGGGATGTTTTTCTTTTTTTGCTGTGAAGGAAGCTCAGAATGTAAATAAAGCTAAGAGCTTGTAAATACTTGAACTTGTTGAGAATGTACTAAATAGTTGTACCGAACTTGATTTGTTTTTTTCTGGTTAATTATTTGCTGAAATACAATGTCTTTCTAATACTTTTAAAAAGCATTTCAAGCTAAGTTTAAGAGTAACATGAAGAACTCTGAAATGAAATGTTAGCCTTCACAATGCATACAGTATTGTTCTATCTGCCTCAAGTGTTACCAGGAATATGTTCTCAGTGAAGCCTAAAGACCCAAATTTGTTTTTTCTCCGTCCCCATTTCCCATTCTGGCAGTGGAACATTTTTGAGTGTCTCACTTGCAATGGAAGCTTTCAGAATGGATTCAGAGACTGTTACTGAATAGCTCCAGCCTGTTTCTGGAAGCTTCTAGATAGTTAAAACTAAATTAATTTGTTGTCTGTTCATGTTTAGAGAAGTTGAATTTTTCTAGCGTTTGCTAGAGTTCATTTTGCCCAAACTGTGATGCTTCAGTGGGGCTTACAGTTGTTGACATAGAAGAAAAATTGTAGATAAAATATAAAGGAAAAAATTCACAAGGATTACTAAGTGGTTATGAGCTCTGAAAGAGGTTTCAAATTATTATACAGTCTGGTACTGAAAAATCATTTGGAACCAAAAAAAAAAAAGTATGAAAATGCCTGAAAATGTTTAAGCTAAGAGAGATGTTGTTCTGCTAAGCACATATCATTAACAAACCTGAGTTACTTGCAGTGGAGTGAAACAATGGGCTGGCAGGTCTTTACTGCGGGTCACATTGCTTGGTATGTCGGAAAGTCTGTAGGTATATAATTGATGAACATCTGTTGTCAGTGCGCACTTGGTGGTTCCCTGTATGCCTAATATGGTGATAGCGTAGCTTATGATAGAAAAACAATATTCTGCTTAGTAAATTTTCACCTTCAACCTGTGCTTGATATTTTTCTGAAGACTTGTGATGAAATTGAAGGATGAATATAGAAGGGCAGAGATCCCTGGGTGAACCAACTGTGGTACTTTGTTAGCTGCACATTTACGTTCATTGGAAAAACAGGGCAGTTCTGATGTCATGATGGTTTCCTAAAACGGATCCAAGGTTTTTTTGCCAGCTGAAGGAAGTGAAGTGTGTAATTATTAGTGAAAATGAGTTTTGGAAAGTTGCATCAAATGGTATTCTGTGGATCGAGGTGTGTTTTCTTAACATGAAATATTTGAGAGATCTGTGGCTGGTACTTCTGGTGTACTTCAGTTCTGATGTTCTGTTCACGTGACACTGAAGCAGTCCCAGGATGACAAGGAGAATCCTTCATTGCACTGATGCTTTCATTTTTGCTGTCCTTGGCGTAGTTCCACGGCTGATGAATTGCCAGTCTAAATTGGTTTATCACAGACAAGGGCTGTGCTCTGTGTGCAGGAAAGTACCTGAACTGTGGGTTTGAAGCAACAGCCTTTATAAAGCTGAGATGCTTGTTCATTGATTTATTTATTTTCATAAGCCAGCCAGTTCCCTTGCACTTTTTGAAGAAGGAGGGGATAGGTGAAGGGGTTGCCCTTCTTCAGGGTTACTGTTCTGCCTGATAGAGCATCTGAAATCCCTGGAGTTTTTTTCAGTCTTTTCTGAAGCTTTTAATTGAACTGAAATGAGTGGGCTGTGGTCTTCCCCTCCCTTTCCCTTCCTCCCCCTGAGGAGCTGTATGTAGCCTTTCATTTACGGATTTGTTACAGCTTGTTAAGCTCTCCTGCCTTGCATGTCTGTCGGAGTTCTGCCTTCTGGTGGAGCTGCTCGAACCAAAACAATTGCACGTGTCCCTTTAAAATTTCCCTGTTTGCTGTCCAGTTGTGATTTAATCCTTTTGAATCATTTATGAGTTCTGGAGTCACTTTTAATTTCTGTCAGTCGGTTCTGTGTATCTTGGTCTAGTTTTACAGCCAGCTCTGTGGTGAGTGCTTTATGTATAATTGAAGGGAAGAGAACAAAGCTAGGCTTACAGAAATATGGAAGGGGAAAAAAAAAAAACAAAAACAAAAACAAAAAAAAAAAAAAAAAACCAAAAAACGTTTACTGGAAAAGCAGCAGTTGTTTGGGCTGCAGTTTCAGTGAGCTGTTCCAGTGACAGAGCATATTAATGACAGTGGTAGGCAAGTGAGGTCACTGTGATGTCAGTGCTCTTGCTTGTAATCCTGCACATGCTTGCTAGTTTGGAACAGTTCATGCTGAGCTCTGGGAGAGGAGCAGGAGAACTGTGCTTGCAGGGGCTGAGCATGGCTGTTACAGGAGATGAAACAGGTAAATGTTCTATTAGTCTTTTACTGCTTGTTGTGGCTGTTTAAGCAGTGCTTAGATGGTGTTTGTGACATTTTTCTTTTCAACTTGTTGCTGTAACTCTTCAATCTCCCAGAACTGACGTAGGTGGGTTCCGGCTCTGGCTGGGTGGTGTTAGGTCTTGGTGTAATTTTATCAGTTTCATGTGAGGTGAAGAAATTGGTGTGAGAGTTGTTGCACAGATTGATGCAGGTAACGAATCTTTTTTGTTTGATGGAAGATTGTGTTGAAAAAAATCCACCACTCTTTGAATTCCTGTAATATGGAGGTAGTGGCTATGTTTGTCATTGTGTATTTGTTTTGTGGAAATGACACTGTTTTTTTTTTTGTTTAGCAATAAACCCTGTAGATTCAATAGCTAGAATAGGCTCAAACGTAGCTGTAAAAGAAAGGCGTGTGCTGTTACGGTCGTGTAAATAAACCCTTTTACTTTCCTTATTAAGGAAAACAGTGAACATGAGCAGATAGAAAAGCAGCAGTTTTAAGTACTGCAACGTCTGCGTGTTTTCTCCTACGCTGCTGAAATGGTCTGTTCCTCTGCTAATTGAGTTCAAAAGGCTGACGTCATTAGGCTTCCTGGAATCGTGTTGCAGTAGGGAACTGGAAAAGTTAAACTCCAAACAAGATACACATTGACGTCAGCCCCAAGTCATGCTGTGATTTAGTCAGTTCCTTTCTGCTTCGTCAATTGCCTCTGGCTGAGCTGTAACATTAACCAGTTTGCAGCCGGTACCTACGTGCTGCTCGGTGCTGGCATCTATTTTTTCATCAGCCTGAAGATACTTATCTTCTCCGAGTCCATATTTTGTGCTCTTGTGCTCAGAGGAATAGTGATTCATGGCTTGCTTAGCTAGTTTAGTGGCCAAGTTTAAAGCCCTCTGATAATTTAGTCCTATCATTATGAGTCAGAGGAAGGGAGCGTAGATACACTAATGCATAGCATGTATCATGTTTTTTTTCTCCTGGGAAGGCACTATAAGAACTCCAGTGTAGGGATGCTCTCTAGTGTTCAGAAAGTTATTTTTTCCAACAGCTTGCTATTACAAAGTGTTGGATTTACTGTTATTTATTCTTATTTTTTTTATGGCTCCTGTAATTTTTTTTTGACTTCTCAGAGCTTAACTTACAAAGGTATCTGTGCTCTGCTGTGAATGTATTTTTTTCTTTGTTTTCCCGCTAATACCTTTCTTGAAGTCTCAGCTAAAAGCTGTAGGTTTCTGAAGACTCTTTCCCCTTGCAATTTTAAAGAGGAAAAAAGAAAGGATTATTGGGTTGATGGGCTGGGGGAAGTGCGCCAATTCCAGGTCAGTTAACATGCTCACCCTGTATCTGATATGCAGCGATCCCTTTAAAGCCCCATGCAGTTTCACTAGAAATGAACACTGCTCTTAGAGACGTGTTGGCCTGGACCAAGGTGTGGGTTCTTTGTCTCATACTGAAGTGGAAGGTACTGTTCTATGTAGTACATCTATTTATTAATAGATTTAAACAGTATGGATTTTTTTAAGGGTTTTTTGTCCTTTCTTTTGAAAGTCTGTTTCATTTTTACTAATGCCTATCTGAAGAGAAACAGTACTTTATAATATTTAAAGCTATTACAAAAAGTTTTGCAGAATTAGAAATAATTGCTTAGCAATAATATCAGTTAGTTCCTTGTGAAACAGATGTTACTGTGGTGGTCTGTAGCACCAAAATTATTATGTTACTACACTTGGAGATTCATATGCGAGGCAGTTGTTAGGCAGGGCTGGGCACTTTGGAAGCTGGTCAAACTACTGATGCACTGTGTTGTTGCTTACTTTATGCTTGCTGATCTCAGCTGAGATAGGGATTTTTTGAGTGTGCAGTAGGTACTTTATTGCAGAGTCCTTCTCACAGCAGCAAGTGCTGTTGGCAAACATCTGAGGGGAGATCAGGTGCAGGCAGCAAAGCAGCTGGTGCTGCCAGGTGGAGGTGACCTGGGTAATGGGTATTTCCCCGTGATTTCATCTACAAAATGCTTTGCTTGAATTTTTAATGTGAGCCAAGATAATCTTGTTTTTTCTTCCTCTTTTTGAAGATAGAGAAAAGTAGTTCTTCCGGTAGTGTTTATGAAATGCATGTAATGTGGCCAGTAAGCCTAGAGACACTATAAAATTCTGTTTTTGATAATACCAAGCTGAAGTTATATCTCATTAACATAGCTGGGGCTGCTAGCAGATGGGAAGAACTCAAACCAAGGGTTAATTCATTTGGTGATATGTGAGAAGACCAAGGCTGCTGGGCCGTGCTCCAAGGCTGTCCTCCACTGAGTTCTTTCCCTGCCCAGCCCCAGCAGATCAGCTCCCTGCTGCAGCTGAGCTGGCAGCTCTGTGCCCTGCGACCTGCAGGGCTGTGAGGGGGGAGCAGAGTGCTGAAGCTGGTGGAGGGGTTTGAGATGTGGCTGCGATTCAACACAGTGCACAAACTTTAATAGATGAATAGTATATAGATATATGCACTTTTAAGTTGAGGATTTGGATTTGGTTCTTTTTTTTTCTCCTGATGTTCTATTATGTTGCTTTACTGCTCTGCCTGCCAGCCTCCCACAAACTGTTTTTGTCTGCCTACAGCAGGGGGTTGGAGCTAATTGATGTTTAATGTCATTTCCAACCAAAGCCTTTCTGTGATTCTATGATTTTATTTTTGCAATGTATTTTGCTGGTGCTTTAAGTATGTAATGAGTATAGCAGCCCCTGAAATTGTTCTTCATATTGAATTGTTTTTATGACAGAAGTGGATGTTGTGTTATTTGATGATACAAATTACTTAGGAGTTGAATGGGCAAATACTTGCTTAAAATTTTAGGGGGGGAATATATTTTTTATTTTTTTTTCCTACGTCAGTCCAGACAGGCGCTTAGGATTCAGTGCTTGAAAGTTGAAACACATAGTATAGCAGCAAAGTGTTTTAGAAATATAGAAATGAGGTGCGTATATCAGAAAGGTATCGGTTCTGAATTGCAGATGAGATTTCAGATCTATGTTTAGCATGGGAGAGCTCAAAATTGGCAGGCTCAGGGGTGAACTTTTGCACTCTCCTTTACTGCATGGCTACATCTCTTCCTGTGTAACAGCCACTCCTTTTTCTTGCCTGCTGGTGCCTGGGCATCCCATTTGTGGTTCTCAAAGAATGTGCTCCTGTTCACTATGCACGTATGTTCCTTTTCATTCTGGCAACAGCAGCTCTCACCAGTTTTCCGAGAGATGCCAGTTTGCTGGTAGGTCTGGTGCTGTCTAAGAAGAGGAGAAAGCTGACTCCTGTGTCAGCTGTTGAAGGACAGCCATAGCGTATTACCCTCTGTGGCTGCACCAGAAGGACCATCTTTTTGTAGAATTTTACCAAAGGAAATTAGAGTGAATGCTCAGACAGCATTTCTCTAACACTTTTCCCTGTGTCGCTTGCGAAGAGCCACATGGAAGCTTTGACAAGCTTCGTTCTGGTTGGTGGGACCACATGCTAGATCAGTTTAGATGATTCATTTAGAGTATAGAAATGAAAGCTAGTAGGATAATGCATGTAGTTGTGATGCTACAGGCCTGTGAGATAATTCATGTAGTAGGGATCACGGGTAACTCATCAACAGAAATGTCTTCTTTCTAGAGAGGCTTATGCGTAGTTTTTTTGCCATAAAGTTTTACATGTGATTCTTTAATACAGCTGCCACTGGAGACATGCCATCCTACCAGCTTCGGACTCCCACTACTAACTTACCTCAGGGAGTGGTAATGGCAGCCTCACCAGGGGCTCTGCATAGTCCTCAGCAACTGGCAGAAGAGGCAACGCGCAAGAGAGAGCTGCGGCTTATGAAAAATAGGTAAGAGCACCTCATTAATAGCTGCTGTCGGGAAAGTAGGACCCTAAAATAACAAAAACAGAACTAATAAATTCACATTCTAATAATGTTTTTTCTTAAAGTCACAAGCCCTGTCTGTGATTGACAAAGAAATTCTTTGTGAATCATTCCATGTGTTTATAGGACTGATGAATATTGGTCTTACCTACATGGATTTTTAGTCTTTAATTTTATGGTATTTCAAAAATCAGTGTTGATGTTGTCCATTAGTGGTCATATTTGTAATGATCCAGATGTATACTTATTGTTGAAAGACATGTTTCCCTACTGACAATAAAATGACTGTTATGGGCATGCTTCTCTTGCAACATCCCAGGGAAGAACTGGTAAGAACAATATCTGAGAATCTCTTTAGCAGCTGTCTATAATGCTGTGAGGAAGACTCAGGCTGTAACTTGATGATAATTGTAGAATTTTCTATATACCTGCCTCAGATAAGTTACTATACAGTGCTCCTGTCATTTAGAATATTGTGTGGAGTGGCTGTATATATTTTAATTAGTTGGCATGTAATTAACTATATGCTGTGACTATCTGTTGTTATATAACTGCCTTTATCTGCTTATTTTTGTTAGGGGGCTTTCTCCCTTTTTTAAATGCATAGCCACTTCTATCACTGGAAATGAGGTTAATGCCTCAGGAAAAAGTAGCTTGCTATGCAGTTCTCTAGTACGTTGAATAGCCACTTGCCTTATGATTGAATTCATGGTATTGCTTTGCTCTCATGCCTGTTCTTAAAATTTCTCACAGAGATTGCTGCGTTGTTATGCTCCCCTTTGTTTTTCCATTTTGTTTTTAAAACTAGTCTCTATTCTGTCTCTGAAAATAACTTTACTGCAAAGTTCTGTTCTCACAGTTTGGCGATTTGAGTAGTTCCAAAACATTTAAGGAGTGGAATCCCATTGCCTATAAAATTTGTTCTATAATTGAATACTGTCTTAAGACATGCTTCTGAAAATACTGTCTGAAGTCTGTAGTCCTTGTTCTAAAAATACTATTTAAAGTCATTGACTTAACAGAGTTCTGAGTGGAGCTATGGGAATGGCTCTGGGCTGCCATTTGCCGACAACAAAGTCACTGATGTGGACAGTTCAAAATGCTGGCATACTGTAGCTACTTGGAATTCTACTGTAGATTGCTGCATTATGGTCAAAAACTACAGCATGTTTTAAAATGTGGCATCTAGCTTTTCATCTGGAGAGTGTTGTTCAATTTGTGTTTTCTGAAAGTAAATTCTTTGGGTTTGAATGTAAGAGTTTGAATGCGGAGGTCGTGGTCCTGATAAACACACAGAATGGAGTGTGACTGCAAAAGAAAATGCTGCTTTTGGTCTTGTGTCCTACAGTTCAGGTCATTATGTCATCATTTATTGTGCTTTTCTCAGTTCTTCAGTGCGTTAATTCCATTATTGTGTTTGGTGATGGAATTTGTTTCCAGTTGTTTTCATGGTTTTGAATTGCATTTTAACCACGCTGTTGCTTATGGCTGTTATGTGCTGTTCTGTTTGTGCAATCCAACAGTTGGTGGAGGTGGTGGTGGTTGTTTTTGTTATTGTGGAACCAATTGGATTGCAGGTAATTTCATTTATCCAGTCTTTGCCATACTGTGGCTGTTCCTGTAGTCATTTGCCTTGTATTGGTTCCAGGGAAGCTGCCAGAGAATGTCGCAGAAAGAAGAAAGAATATGTCAAATGTCTTGAAAATCGTGTGGCTGTGCTTGAAAACCAAAACAAGACTCTCATTGAGGAACTCAAGGCCCTCAAAGATCTTTATTGTCATAAAGCAGAATAACTGTCTTTCATTTGGACCTTGTCTATTATGAACTTTAATCAAGGCATGAGAGGAAGCAATTCTACAGATTGCCATATGAACTTGAGAAAGTGACACTTGAGGCCCTTGTGGAACCCCACTTTTGCTTAATGTTTTCAGACTTATTTGGGAGATGCTCCAAAATTTGGAATTCAAATGTAGTCTCCCTACTCTGCTGAGCTTTCTAATAGCATGCAAATGGCTTGTTGTTTGCACTTTTTACTTCTGCTTTTTGCAGGGAAGCTGCTAAAGAATGTCGACGTCGGAAGAAAGAATACATAAAATGTCTGGAGAGTCGTGTTGCAGTGCTAGAAGTTCAGAACCAGAAACTTATAGAGGAGCTTGAAACCCTTAAAGACATTTGCTCTTCCAAAGCAGATTAGTAAAAATATTTATTATACTGTGAACTGACCTAAAATATGTCCGGTTGCTTTATAAGGCAATACAAGGCCAATATGAATTATGGCTTTCTCTGTGTCATTTATATTATATTCCAACTTCCAACATTCCTGAAATGCTTTCCTGCTTTTTGTCAATTCATAGCTCTGCTTACAGGTTTTCCACGTTCCACCCTTCCACCTCCCAAGGAGCCAAATGGTTTAAACAAACAAAAAAAAATCTAAGTGAAAAAAACCATAATTTCTAAGAGCTGTTTCTTTGCCATATATTTACATGCTACTTTTTACGTGTACTGCTAGCGTTCAGCACATGAAAACTATTTTGCAGCTGTTTCAAATGAATCAAAGATAATGCATCCGGTAATATGAGAAAAATCAAATAACTCAAGGTATCTCAGGAAAGAGTTTATAAAAGAATGTTATGATTACATGTATGTATTAGCAAACTGGTCTACAAATGATTTTATGACATATTTTTATATTAGTTGCTTTGTGGAAAGAAAAAGTATTGTATTGCTATCACTGAGTGCCATGGCTAAAGATAGTTTTTAATAGAATGATGTTGTTTAACCTGTGTAGTGTCTGATTTCCTTTAAACATCTGGTTATTGGTGATGCTTTTAAACCTGTGAGAGTTTGGAGGGGGAGGAAGAGAACAGAAATTCCCTGACATGATGCTAAGTATATTGCAGGTATCTGAGAACGTCTGTTACGTGGTGGCTGTTCACTTATATTTTCTGTAGTCTGTGAAACATCTGGTTTATTAGAAGCCTATGTGTAAAAACTTGATTTTCCATCCTGAATAATTTAGATTCTGGACAGTTGTAGCAGTTACCTATACTGAAGACTGATGGTGTAGTTCTTTTTACACTTTCTGCAAAGTACCAAGGGGAAATAAAGGTGACTTAAGGATGGAAGCTTTCCAATAAAGAGTAGCTATCTGCTGATTTACGGGGTTCCGGAATAATATATAGGTGACAGCTGATCTTTCTTTTTCAAATAAAATTATGCTTAAGCCGGATCACAGGTTTGGTAAATGTGGTGTTCCAGCTGTAAACAGTTGTCAATTGTTTCCGAGTTTTTGTTCATTTCAGAAATAATCTGATGCTTGATGGCCTATACATTCTATGAGCAGATTCTTCGGGAGCTTTGCTAGAACTGGCAGCACCATTGCCAGTGCTTAGAGTTCCTGCTTGAATGGGAAGTGCATGCTTTGAAGCAGGGGGAAGGAATTCTGCCGTTACTGAAGTCACTAAGATTTCTTCACTTAATTGAAACTGACTTTTAACCCATTTCTTCTTCATACTGCTTGGGGTGTGTGTAGGGGTATGTATATACTTTTTTACTTTAAATCTTGTTTTCTGGCACTTTCCCAAATTACTTGAAATAAACAGGATAACTTTCTCAAAACCCTTAGAAAATCCTGTTGGGTACTTCGAGATGATCTGTACGAACAGGTAGTATCTGTCTTTTCTTGTGGCTACAGCAGTTGATTTAAGAAGGAAGCTGACTGGCTTTTGGACCCATGGGCTCTGCTTCAGGTCTGGAACCAAAATGAAGGAAAATGTGGAATAGCTGTTTCACTGTGGAGACTCATCCTCAGCACTAAAGTCAGTGCAAGGGTCAATGTTTCTGTTGAAGATGGAGGATAGGATGAGTACAGGCTGTTACAGGTCTGTGTTGTAGCCTCTAGTCTCCACAGAAGTGTCCGACAAATTGTTTATTGTGGCTCTATCACTAGAATCTGTTTTCTGTTACAGGTAGGCCTTGTTCCTGACTCTCTGAAGGAATTTGGAAACTAACTGGAAGAAAACTTTGGCATCTACTTCATATCTTTGTGGTCTACAGTAATTTCTTTGCTAATGCTTTTAAAACAATTAATATGTGTTTTTTATTTAAATAAGTTCTTCAGGGGAGCTGAGAAGAAGGCTCTGTCAATAAGTAAGCTGAACTTAGTTGTTCTCGGTGTGAGTTAGGTCATTCTGGAAATTCCATTTCATTTATTTATCTGTACCAGGGAAAAGTATCCTGTTTCCAAAAAGTCCACTGCAGAAAACCTGGCTCATTTGGACTACAGCTAGGAAAAAAAATATTTGATGCATGCTTCTTTCATTTTAAGTAATTTGGCCTGATAAATTATTGGCGTTATCAGAATTACCAAAACACTTCTGTATTTCTATGTGAGAATGCACGAGTTTGTTGGTAAGTAAGAATATTTGTGTTTGGTAAATTAGAACCAAGGTGCATCTTGTGGTGTTGGAAATCAACTCTCAAATGAGCAAAGGAAGGCCTGCACAAATGCCAGGGATCTGTTGTCAAATCAACACTGGAAAAGTAGAGTACTTAGCAGTACTTCCAGTTTTGTGTTAAGAAATACGCAATGAAAACTTCTAGAGTTCCCTGAGGCTAAAGGAAGATTTGAAGGTGAGCTCTAAATACTTCTGGCATTTGTCAGAGCAACAATACCAAATTCTTATGTGAGAAGGGACTGCTGGATCTGTGTCGAAGCAATTGCAGTGTTAGGATGTATGGTAGGGTTTATGAATGAGTTCAGATTGTAAGGAAACACAATATCCATGACGGTTGTGGTTCACATGAGTACCAGGACTTGCCCTCTATCCTCATTTTAATTCTGCAGTTCTCTGCTGAATCAGGTTGAGAGGAAGAAAGAGACTGGAAGGAAGATTAGATCTCTTAAGTACTTTGTCGTTGCACAGCAGCATAGGAAAGCGTGCTTGAGTCCAGTGGATTTGAATACTTGAAGTATATCAGTAATTTTTATCTGGATTCATGTGAACTTGTTTCTAAAAACAACTTTGTCCAGAAAAAAAACCCACATTCTTTTGTCCTTTTCTCAGTGGGCTGAACTTAGAGCAATTTTAGGCGTTTGTTTTCCATGTCTTATCTATAACCTTACAGTCAGGACGGCAGTTGCCAGCTAAGTTAAATTTACAGAAGTCTGTTTAGAAAACATGAAGTAAAAGATCTGTTTAAAATTTTTCTTCCCCGAAATTTAACTTTGGCTTCTGAAATAGCATACCTGTAAGTCAAGCCATCCCTTTGTGTACAACAGCTGTTGGTGATTGTTGAGTTACACGCTATTTTGAGTTTCCAGATATTCCAGCTGTAAATGATTAAAGCAAAGTATTGTGTACAACATGGAGCATAACAAAGAAAGTGGGTTGCTTACTTTCATTCAGAGACTTTGCTCTAAAACTGCCAAGTTACTCCTTGGTAGCAGAGGAAAAATAGCAACAAAGGATTTCAGTTTGCTTCAGCTGCTTTTTCATCTTTTTGTACTTCTCAGAGGAGGCATCCAGGACCCCTCGTGCCTACTTTGGCTCCTTCAGCAGCGCGAATGCCCGTCCGTTTAATGATGAAACTCTTTAATGAGTAACAGTTTGCCCCAATGCAGTTTTTGAAGCTGGGAGTTATTTGTATGTTGAGCTGCCTGAATTATTTCAGGTTTCCAGTGCCTCAGATTTTAGTTGAATAGGTATTGTTCCTGTGACAACCAGATAGTGTACAACGTATGACAATTCTCACCAAATTTGATATTAATTCAGAATTATTTTAATATTATAATCCATTCTGATGCAATAAAAAGCAAGCTAGCTAAGTCTGACTTTGTGCTAACCTGAGTTAGAAGTATCTACTGTCCTCTTCTGTACCAAAGATCATTTAATTACCTCCTTATCTGAGAATCCATCTCAGGATTCTCAGGAAGATTTCTCATCCTGGAAGATTTCACTGCTAATAAGGGAGACTCCTTTCAAAGCATGCCTTGACCAAAAGATCAGAAACGACCTTCTGTCTCCTGCCATACGATTTGTAGATTTTATAGCTGTTTCCCATTTCCAGGAAAAAAAGAGGTTGCTAAGAGTGTACAAATAGCAACTGGAGATGTGTTCAGTCTTGTCTTACATCATAGCCTGCTGTCTTGTAGGATAAGTAGGGGAGGAGCCTAACTCCCTAATGAAAACATGGCTCTGAGCTCTGGATGCCACTGTAATTTCTGTTGGAATCCGATCCTAATTGAGATCTGTGAATTCAAGGGCTTGGTGGGGTACAGGAGAAAGGCCCTTTGGGCACAGTATTATTACAGAATTGAGGGATTGGGAGGGACCACTGGAGGTCATCGAGTCCAGCCCCCTGCTAAGCAGGTTCCCTATAGTATCTTACACAGAAAAGCTCCCAAGTGGGTTTTAAGTATCTCCAGACAAGGGCACTCCAGAAGCTCTTGTGGCAGCTGGTTTGTGCCCATTGCCCTTTGTCCTGAGACGTGAGCCTGACTTTATAACGAGAGATTTTGAGTGTTGTCCAAGCTGTAAATTATCAGTCCGATATTTTTTTTTTTTTCTCCTGTACCAATTAAAAAGATTCAAAATAATTGATTTATTTTTCTGTAACAAGGTCATATTTCTGTAGTACAGAACTATTTTACCTTGCTGAATCCATGCAACTGTTTGCAAATTTATTTGAGACAACTGGATAACCTGCTTTTACTTTATAGGAAAGTACACACAAATATACGTGAATATTTTTTCAAATATAATTTCTTGTTACTTGGGGGAAATGCTGTGTTCAAGAATGTCTTCAACCTCCTGGGCAGGTACGTGATGAGGAATGCAGTAGTCAGCTTCCTCTTATGCTAGAGTTCTGAGTCACAGCTGTGTTCTTCCACATCTGAACAGGGAGGCGGGTGAACAGAGTTAGAAATCTCTAGGCTTCATGGCAGAGCTCTCTTGGCTTGCTTGAGCTGTTGTGAGTTGGGAAAATTGGAATTAAAATCAGCATATTGTGTGTGTAGGTGTGGGCTTACAGTTTTTATTTATTTATTTTGAGTTGTTCCTCCCCATGGATTTTGCAAGATCTGTTTGCAGTGCAAGTATCTCCTTGCACTGATAAAGCCTAGAGACTGCATGCTTTGTCATCCCTCCCTTATTTATCTGTGGATTTCCCTCCATTTTCAAAGCAATGCTGATTTGCACTGTTGGCCTACAGACTGGTGTGATAGCAAAATCCAATGTGATGCTTCTTCTAAATGGAGGATCACTTCAAAGAAAGCAGCAGCTGTTTTGGGTTGCCTCATGTTGCAATAGTCCTTCTCACTTCAGGTTTTGTGCTTGGTTGTGTATGTGACAAGAAAGTGTTGAGTGCTGATGCTGAGCTATCAGCTATCTATGCAGCTAATAGAAATAGCTGCATTTTAGTTGTCAACATTCCCATATAAAATATGTTCTTTTGGGGTAACAGACTTCATTTAATTGAGAACTTTTAAGGTGCTATGAGGCTCTTCTAGATGAGGCATGGCAGTGATTTATTCCTGCAGAAGTTATACTAGTTTGAGTTTGGGCTTAAAAGCTGAAGAAAATGCAATAATTAACTTCAGGGCAGACTGGCAATGCCAGGTAGCAAAAAATCACTTTATTCTTCTATATCCAATGAATCTTTTCTAATCCTTTTGCTTAAGTTTCTGGGTTTTTGTTTTTCTTTATCATTTTGCATATTACAAAGCAGGTGTCTGTGTGCACGAAGCTGCGGAGAGACAGAATAATGCGAGAGCTGAATTCTAGACTAAGGAAAAAATAACTTCATTGTATTATGTATGACTTGAATGGAAAAACCAGAAGAGGAAGTGTCTTTGTTACGATAACTGCAGAGTTTTTTCCTCTCCTGTAATAGCGCCATCCGTGTAGTCAGCTGTGATTAATATGTCTTGTGAATGGAATAACTATAAAAATGTCCCAGTTCAGGAGTCTCGGTAACTAGCCAAGCTATTGTTTTTACTTTGTTGTTTCAAGTGTACGACTTGAAATGGTCTTGAATTTGGCCTTCAGTGGATTTGCTTTTTATGATTTTATTGAATTTTTTTCAAACGTGGCTGAATCATACCAGGTACAACCTGCACCAGGGTTGTTTAACAAGACCAGTCTGTAAGGAAAACGAGGTAGGAAGAAGTCTCTGATTGATATGAATGTATAACAATGTAAGTTCCACCTGGAAAAAGGCAGTGTCTAATAAGAATAATAGAAGACTAAGACCTGTTGTTCTATCCAGCAGCTACTCCTGTAAAGCTTATTTATTTATTTTGGCAAGGTCTTTATCAAGTTTCTAGTTTTCTTTAAGTCTTGCAGTAGGGAGAGATGTGTGAATGCTTTTGAATTCAGTGTGTGTTTGGGTTGATGTTTGAGTTTTGAAGAATCAAATTTGCAAAGATGTTAGCTGTACATAAAAAGCTTTCAGAATTTTGTCAGCTGCTGTACAAAGAAGAAAATACCTGAGTTCTTACGTACCTGCCTCTTCACTTCTGAGGCTGTCAGTTGCTTCAAAGGTCCGGAACTGGGCTTGGAACTGCAGCCTTCTTGACACAAATAGCCAACTAAAATCTTTGAGAACTTCAAAGTAGACTTTCTCCTGCTTCTCTCATTTGAAGCATGACTTATTTAGCTTTTTTTTTTTCTGAGGCTTGTCTACTAGGAACAGAATTGATGTAAAATATGAACAGAGAGAAGGGGGAAAAACAGGAGAGTGAATGAAGTGTTGGAAAGCTGCAGTATTACAGAGTAAGACAGATGTTGTCAATTTGCACATTAGATCTTTTTTGCTTGGGTCTTTTTTCTTCAGTGTAAGAACATAGGTGGTTTGGGCAGGATCAGAGTTCTCCTGTATGGAGCATAATATGAGAATCATTAACAGTTCAAATTGTTTCCAGTTTCTTTTCTAGAATCAAGTGTAAATTATGAGCTGTAGCTGATACAGATCTGTTCCATATGCTCTTTGTCCTTTCTCCTAAATGTCTTTCATTTCTTTGAGATATTCGTCTAGTGCTAGCACTCATGTTTGTGTCTGATTTCTTCCAGTATGCTTTGAATGTGATGGTCCATTTCAATTTAACAAATGCCTCGAGGATGTCTCAGAAGTTCCCTGAAAACAGGTGGCTGCCGAAGAAGGCAGATGCTGTTCATGGACCTAATGAAAGAAAAGCTGCAAAGTAAGCTGTGTTGGATATAAGAAAATCTAATTGGAGTTTTCTTCCTTCTTAGATTGCAGAGAACTAATCCACTGATTGCAGGTGAACTGTAATGCTATTAGTCTTATTGCTGACAATCATTTCTATTTTGGGGAGATACTCAGATTCTGTGGAATACCACATATGTGTTCAAAAGTAAAACATGTTTGTAAACAAAGCTTTTTTTTTTTTTAATAAAGACATTAACAACTTAGGTCTGCAAAGCATCTGTGTCTAAAGGTCATCTTTGGCAAACTAGAGTTGGCTTTGTAAAGAAGCAAGGAAATTTACCCTGATTAAATACTTCCTGATTGCTCTCCCGCATTTAAACAGTTTGTGACAATTGTATAAACTTCAGCTAGGCAAGTAATTAAGTAAAATAAACTGACTTGGTAATCGTAGAATCTTTAAGGTTGGAAAAGATCTAAGATCACCTAGTACTGATACACTTAGAAGAAAAAGTACCCATTGTCCTTATAGTGTTGCATTGAAATAGCTTTGAATAGAGAAAGTTTGGTAGGGTGCCCTGTTAGATGCCCAGTGCAGATTTAGCTGATCTTTTGGGTCAGAGCTGGAAACAGAGGCTATTGGGTTTTTTCAGCTGTTTTAGGCTGACACCTTGTGGAGTATGTGTGTCTGTACTTCATTGCCAAAGAATGAAGCTGTCAAAAAGCATTACAGGAATAGGAAGCTTCTTGTATCCAGGTGTTTGTGGGGGGAGGAGGGAAGGTGAGTGAGGCTTACTACAGTAAAAAGTGTTCTGTGGTTGAGAACAACAACTCAAGAGAATAATTAGGTAGTCTTTTAGTATGTAAAAATTCTGTATTGACAAATTTTCAACTTCTAGAGTCTTTCTGACTGTTAGTCTCATTAAATGAAAGCTAAAATGGTAATTTGTTCTTGGTTACATTCAGTCTAATAATCATGGAATGTTATCTAAATATATAATCAGTGTTGCAAATTCTGCTGTTGAAGCAGAGCAGCTTCTAGTTCTGAACTGGGAAAATGAAATATAATAAACAAGCACATTTTGAAACATAATAGTATGAGGGTAAAAAAGAGTAACTTCGTTTCCATTTTAGTGCACGGTAGTCTGGGCAAATGGAAAGATAATTCTGGGAACAGGAAAAGAGGAGGTATTAAAAAAAGGAATACAAAAAATGGAAGAAGATAAAGGCAGTGATGAAGGAAGGCCGAATAGATTGCTCTTAACTGATCCTAGTTGTTGACTTCTGCATAACAGCCATGAATACAGACAATTCCTATGGTCACATCATCCCATCTCCATGAGGCTCTCTGTATGCTCAGGTTATACAGAACTGTGAAGTTTTCCCAGCGCTCCTTTGAGGCCTAAACAGATTCTAAATGATTTTTTACTTTTTAGTTTTTTAAACCTTATTAAAGAGAATGAGCTACATACATGAGTTTTGATCTCAAGCTGTGGAACAGCAAGTGCATTTCTGTGTGGTGTGGTAAGATAATGTGCATGAAACAAAAAGATGACATGGTTTCTGAATGGTTGTTATTAAGAGATTCATTTAAATAATCTAATTGACAAAGCAGTTGTGAATACCATGTAATTTCCAGTCATAAATGTAAGGTTAACTCACAAAAAAGTCGTCTGAAAGTTTTAGTTGAGATCCTAGTTGAGGTTGATATCTACTGTCACTGTACTAAAAGACTGCAAAACCCATGAAGTTGAGTTGCTGTCCCAGTTGTTTTCAGCGTAGCTCATTTAGCCAGCATTAGATCTGGATGTATGTCTGTTCCCTGGATTTAAAGTATTTTGGAGGTTAAAAAAACCATGCTCAAGCAAATGCTGAGCATCATCTTTCACTGTTGAAGTAGATCAGGCAGTTTCACACACAAAGCCATTCTGTACATGCTACCTTTCCTGAAGGAAAGAAACAATTGCTCCATTTCTTTGCCCAACATTTTAGCTCTAGAAATGCTTACACTTTCCTCTTGGTCTCCTGCATCTACCATTAGTGTCCTAAGGATTGGAAATGGATTTTCACTCATAACACAGCTGTGCTCTTCGCTCCTACTAACAGCAGAGGTCTCACTGTCCTAATCCAGAACAAGGGAGGGGAGAAGGGTAAGGACTATTACAGCTACGCACAGCGGTGTCTGCAGGTGTCAGGTCACAGCTGTGTTACACTTCTACCACTTCCCCTTAATAAATCTTTGACAATGGAACCTCTGCTTTCTACTTGATATTTGCCTAAAGCCAATTACAAGGAAGCTTTTAAAAGTTGCTCTCATTGCTGGAGGCATCTCTTCCTATCGGTTCCTTTTAGTTTCTTTTTTAAAGATTACTATGATGGCTGTTGTAGTAGAATTTAATGACCCAGATGGCTCTAGATGCTAACGTGTAAGTTCGAATTTCCTGAGTAAGGTGGTCTGCTTCTGCCTTTGGCAGTGAGGTTTGTCATGCTTCATCTTACGTGCTTGATGAATGGGAGGTCGCAGAGAGCTTTTTCAAGTGTCCAGATGTAAAGTAAAGACATAAGCTGAAATTGGAGGGTATAGGAGAAACTTCCTCTCAGCAAAACGGGCATCTTCATAATACAAACACTGAGGCCATGCTCTGTAGTTTCACAGAAGACATTTATTGATGCCAGAGCATTTCTTTATCCACCCCTCCAGCCCCTGTAAAGGTTTTCTAAATAGTAAGTTCAAGCCTTGTAGGCAGTCTGTAATGAGTCTGAAAGAACTGATTTGCAGCAGACTATGTAAAAATTTGCATTCAAATGCTTACCGCTGCTGAAATTTTAAGAAACTAAAACTAGGGCTCATGTGCGTTTATTGTGAGCTGTATGAAGACTTGATATATTTAGGACAGAGGAAGAAATCATTGGAAGTGGCAACATAAACTTAAGTTTTGGTTAGGATGTTGGTTTCATTTTACTTACCTGAATTACCCTAAGAAAAAATCTTAGTATACAAAATAAATCATTACAAATCAGTCAAACATTATGTAATTGAATGAGAGAAATTATGTATATATGGAGTAAAATATGAGTCAGTTAGAGACCTTACAGGCCAGCACAATGGTTACAAGCCACTTTTAAAATGTTTCTTATGTAGGATGTTGGACAGATGCCCAGCAAAAGTGAAACAGTGGAATTTCTGATATCAAAGTAACTTATTAAAGTATAGAGAAATGTAAAAACAGCAGCATGGTTTTCCATTACAGGCTTGATCAGGAAACTAAACTATCAAATGAGTGAAATCTACAAGCACAATGGCTCTGAGTCTTCACCAGTATAATGTAAAATAAAATACATGCTAAAATACAGGTAACATAGCTAATATATCAGGTGATACTTGCTATTATCAAAATATACTCATCCAAAATTGAGGTAGTCCAATTATCAATCTGTTTCAGTGAAGTAACAGGGAGATTTTCTGAAGTGCAGTCCATAACTTTCGGAGTCTGGAATTCTCATGTGAAGTGCAGTTCCTTGCACTGAATGTACAAACTGAGAGGAGAGAAGAGGACTAACTTCCCAATAACTAAAGTTAGTGGGGGTGCATCCTACCCCAACGTTTGGTGTGTAACAGAATTTATTGTTACCTGTGAAAAGATCTCCCTGTAAAAACAAACAAACAAAAAACCCCTTACAAAACCAACAAAAACCAAGATTCTTCAAGATTTTTTTGTTAGGGAGGGAGGTTTAAAAGTAACGTTGCACAGTGTACAAATTGTATATGGCAATAAAGTTCCTCAGTTTCTCATTTAACCCAAATAGTTTTATAGTTTATTTGGATTCAGATGACAATGTCAAAAGTTGTGTTATTCACATGAATTACATGAATTAATAATCAGTACAGATCTGAAAGCGTTTGAAGCTATTTTTGTCCTTGTTTGCAGCACCACTTGCCACTGCTGCTGGCAGCCTTTGGACATGTGATTACTTCTCTGTGCAGACAGAAGCCTCTTTATTATCCTTTAAATCTTTAAATGTTTGTGTTCTATTTTTCCAGTAACGCTCAAAAAATTCTTTGCTTACTGTTAAGTTATGGATGCTGCTTCTGCAGTTTTCTATGACCTATGCAGTCCGGGCTGGAGTCCAGAGATTGCCTTGTTCTCTTGCAGTTTCTATGTGTTTTCCTTTGCACCTTCCCATGCTGCTCACGTATGTGTTCTAGCAGATTGGAATTGAATTGATTTGCAGTATTAGGAATGATAGCAAAGTCTTTTAATGGGTGATGGCCAGGATATATGGATGCAGAAATACAAATCAGTTTGTTCAAATAGACCGGTATGAAATTCTCCATGAAAATAAGTTAGATGTTGGTAAAATAAATTAAATGAAATACATAATAGGATTACAAAATATTTGCATTAAATATAGGACTCCAAGCTACTTAGTGAGATTGCAGTGGAAATGGTGATGATGATAGTTTAAGAAAGTGAGCTCCTTCATTGCCCAAGAGAAAGAGGTACGTACAGTCCTCTCTGAAAACCCCACCAACAAAATCTGTCTGTACATGCAAACCATCTGCAACTCTAAACTTTCTTTGGCGATGATTTTATCTGTTTTATAGAAGAAATTTGTTAGTGACAAAGACAGCTGCCTCCTGCTGTGTCTGGCTTAAAATCACATTTGGTTTGTAATGGACTAATGCTTTGTCTCTCCTATAAAGAAAAAAAAAATGCTCCGAAGCAAGCATACAGTGCCATGAAAGCTTTTCACTTACAGTCTGAGAGGATGCAACCCCAGAATGGATGTAACAACATTAGACTTCCCTGTGGTACCTTCTGTTGGCTTCTTCTGACCTGAAGACACCAAGTGGGTCTGGTTTACGGCTTTTCCTATCTCTTAAAATGTGCTGAATAAGATGAACGCAATGTCCTTTTCTTGGAGACTGACTTCATAAACAACAATTAACTTGCAGGAAGTGCGTTATGGCATCATATGTTAATGATGTTATCTGTAAATGGACAATACATGGATAAGACAGTCTAAATAGGGCAAGGCAGAATCTTAAATCTATGAGCCTTCAAACTAGTTCCTCTAGTATCCATCCAATTTCATCAAGTTATTGGATGACTCACCTCTAAATCGTACATCAGAGCTGAATTCCTGATGCCTTTTTTCGCTTGAATTTCCTGTGCTACGTTTGGGGATGATTACCTTTCAAAGCAAATTGTGTAAATCACGCTGGAGTTCTGCTGAGCTCAATGCTGAGTGAACAACGCACATCTTTACATGCAGGAGCTTCAGCTGGGAGCAGTGTTCTATTGTTGGTTGGTCTTACATCTTTTATAGGGCTATCATGAAAAACAGGAATCCAAGTTGTGCAGTACTTTTCTGTTTCAGGCCTCTCCAAGGTTGAGAGAGAGACGGGGTCTGTGTTTGTTCAGACCAAGTGTTTGAGTGTGTTTGTTCCACAGTCAGGTTAGGTTTTGTGCCATCAGAATCTGGTCACGTCATTCTTAGGCTGTCCTTGAAAAATAAAAAATAGGAAAAAAAAAGAAGCAAAATGGAGAAATATTCTTAAGAAATAGAGACATGTTAAGACTGAGCAGTAATTGATAAAGATCAGGGGGTGGATAGCCCTGCTTAATTCTGCTCAGGTTAGGTCTGGCCAAAGCTGTAGGGTTGTTGGGGTTCTCCATAGTGACTGACTTAGTGATTCAGTTTTTAGTGATGTGGTGTTCTATAGGGCCCCTAGTACATTTACTGCTTAAGCCTGTATGAAAGTAGGAGGCTTGCAGTGTGACACTTGGTGCTTATGGATGCTGGTTCTGCAGTTCTTTTATTTTTATGACTTTTTTTTTTTTTTTGACATCTTTCTGTCAATGGGCGTGCATGTGATCAGCAGTATGGGTCAAACTGGAAGAGTCTGTGAGCTGTGACACTCCAGATAAATAATAGAAAATGTTAGCATTTTCCAACAAAGTAATGTATAAAAGTTCCAACCCTAAACCAAACCACTAGGCCAACATGTATCTCATTAGAAATAGTAGCCACCACAATTACGCATGCCTTGTCTATGAGTCCCATACAAGTTACAAATTCTTAACATGTCTCAGTGTGAATAATAGGGAAAATTATGAAACAGAGAAAATACTGTGTTATTGTTACAGATATGCCAATATGTTTAAACAGAGAGATGAATCTTAGTGACATTACTATGGACAAAGATAATGAACGTTGAGGTTATGGACTCGAGTTGAATAATTGTATAAGCAAACGTGTATCATTCAAACACATACAGTTCCAACACTGCATTTAAACAGCTTTCAAGTTATAAGGGGCATCCGTGAACATATGAACTGCCAAATCGTTCCAAAGAGTTTTGCTTTGTAATTTTGTACCAAATTCTGCAATTCATGTAACTCACCCATTGCAGAAACAAAAGAAGCCTTTTTAATTGTGCTTTTTAAATTTAATGAATAGATCTTGCTATCTTAGAAGTTCTGTAATGAAATGTGCATGTGCTTCTATATGGATATTCTGTCCTGTGTTATACAGATTGCTTGTCTGTTTTTAAGAACAGTTTTGAGGAGGTCTGTCTTCTACATTTTGAGACAAGCATACTGTAAAAAGTATAATTTTTAGTCATATTTTATAATATGCTTTCACGTGCCTCATTAGTACTTAAAAAATTGTCCAAGTATGTGTCAGTTCAATGTTCATGGAATGTAAAATTCTAATATTTCTAAATCCCTTTCAGTTAAGTGGCTTTACAGTAGAGGAACAAACTCATCACCAAATCAGTTGTTTTTTTTTAGAACAGTGACACATCCTAAACTACACTGCAGTGATCTTGGCCAGAGAAAATACCTGTTCTAATGTATGCATTTAGTGTCCTGTGGCACAGCTTCAGTGATATTTGATAAAGAATAGAGCTCTTCTAGGAGAAGGCATTTGGAAAAATATTAGCTGAGCAGCTCCAGAAAAGGGTAGCATTAACTTGCAAGGAAAGGCAAAAAGATAGAACTTTATTCGAGATAAAGCTGTCTTCATTAATTACATTCTCATAAATGGGAAGTATAATTCAAGCTGACCAGATTGTTGCCAATATTAGTCAGCAATTTCCTGTAGATATCGCTGCGCTGAGTTTCCTGTTTAACCGTGGATTTCTAGGTGCTGTGGAAGATGATAAACTCTTCTCGACTGCAGGGTGGTGAAAATACATATTCACTTCTAAAGAGTTTGAAAAGTGTTACTGCACTTGTATTAAAAATTAACTGTGAAGGAGTCATTTCAATATTTCACTGTTTAGGACAATTGAACAATAGTATTACTGTGTTTTTGTAACTTCTTGGTTTTATTTCACTTTTTTAGGATAGTCTATTCTTCATTTTACCATATGGTCCTGTTCATTATCAGCTTTACTTTTTGTCACTTTTCACTCTGTGAAACGGATTCACAGACATCCAGTGGGAAGTGTTTGTAGGTCAGTGATTAATTTTCCCAAGCCCGTATTGCAGGCTCTGGTGATTTATACTGACTCTATTTATAGAGAAAATACGACTTTTTTTTAACCTATGAACTTACATTCTCACATTGGCATTTCTGCAATCAATTGATGCATCTTCTCGTTGAGTGATGATGACAGCAGAGTTAATAGGCAGAATGTGCTACAACATACAGGAGTCTGTTTCATGATTAATGTTGGGTACAGGCACTGTCTGCATCAAGCAATATCAGTGTGCACATCAGGAATAACACAGTAGGGTATAGTATCTATGAGGACAGTAATCTAATCATTTTATTTATTTGTTTTCCTTTTCTGTAATATATGAACATCTTGCTATTTCCAAGTTTTAGACTTACAAATACCCTTTGAAACAGATGTTACTGCTGTTTTACTGAAAGAGATCTAAGAAATGATGAAGGTATTTTTGAAAGTCCTGCACACAGTCTACAGTGGAGCAGAAAAGTGAATTCGGATTCCCTGAATGTGTGCAAATCAGTGGGTTGTTACTCTCAAAAATAAAGCAAAGAGTGCTGCTATCTCCGTGATTACGTAAAGTTTAGTACATGAAAAAGCAGAAGGATTTATGGCAGAATACATTTTAAGCTTTCCCTTCAGATCACTTATGATGTATCTCACCAATACCTTGCTAATAGCAGCAGAAACAAAACCAAAGCAAGCTTTGCCTGGCTCAAGGAGGCAGCCGTCTCTTCCTTTTTCATCTGTGGAAATGGAAACTGATTCTAAAAGACATGCTGTCTTTTCCTGTGTTTGAGGAAAATTCTTGAATTTCCATGCAGGAGCCTCACTTTTAATTCCACTGGTATTTGGTACCTTTTCAGTGAGGAGGAAAGCACTTTGAAAATCATAATAGAAGTCATTTTCTTAGTAGTTCTGTAGACCAGCCTTTCTACTCAAAAGGACACTGATATCAATGTTCATTGAGAGTGCACAGAATTCATCGTTCAAATAGAAAATAAAATAAAAATCTTGCTCCATTTAGTTGAGCAGTTTTTAATTTTACGTTATTTTTCAAAGGAAAGGGTACTGTCTAATCCATGCAGGGTTTGAGAAAGTTGAACAAAATATGAAGTACACACTCTAAGTGATGCATCTGTTGTTCTTTTGTTAAATGCATTAATTTATGGTTCTCTTCTCCATGCTTCTATTTTCTGTATTTTCCAGGCATATGCATAGGGGATTTTTCTTGAGGAGGATGATCTTAAGCACCCATATAATTCTTAATGTATTCCTACAGCTATCCACAATTCGTGGATACACAGTAACCTGCTAAAAATCAACAGAGGCTTATGCCCAGACAATTCGTTGAAAACCTGGACATTTCAGGAGCTTTAATTTTCATACAGAGAATTTTTTACCTTTTTTGTTTCACCTCTTGATTTTAAAATTAAATGGGGAAGGCCTATTTTCAACTGAAGATAGATACATAGGTAATACTTTTGAGAATGTTTCACATGGGCAATTCTTGAGATCAGTCTCTGTAGTTCACAATATTCAGCTTGGCTCACTGTCTCTGAAATCTTTAACTTATGTTTATATAATTTCTTCAAACACAGCTCTCTGTTCCTTGCGTTAAAAAGGTTGATCTTCTAGAGAGCTGTAGGCTAAAGCTTCCCTGATGTTTTCCTTCATAGAAAGTGCTCATCCCAACCATATGTATGTGCTGACACATGCTTTTCCAGTGAGCTGTACTTCTGAACACTTAAATCCCTTGTATATTAACATGTAATAGCTCATTACTGCACAGATATTTTTAAGTGCAAACTGCCGAGACTGAAATGCAAAACTGCTTGCAGTGAGAAGCAGATGAAAGTTTGTCGTTTTTTCTTCTTCTTTTTCTTCTTTTTTTTTAATATATATTTAATATCAACTTGAGAGAAAACAGTTCTGTCTGAATATGCTCACCCAAATTTCTGGTCCAGGTTCAGATTTTTCTCTTTGCAGAAACGAGGAGCAACTTCACTGAAATGAAAGGAGTTAAATTGCCTAGACCTGTATGAAATCAGAAAACATTAACAGATACCTCTTTATAGAATAGAATTGGATCTTTCACAAGCAGAGTGAAACACAGTAGCCTCTTATTCATACTTGGAATAGACTCTCCAGCTGGCAAAGTGCTTTGTGGCAACACTACCCATTTTTACACATTATTTTGTTTTGTTTTGTTAGGCTTTTCTATACAAGAGGTTTTATTGTTCAGGAGGGAGCATTCCCACCCTTCCTAGTAGTCATCAAGCCATACTATTGGGTAATTATTGCTCTGCACATGCCAGGATCTCAGACCAAGGGATGGCAGCCAATCCTGATATGGGAAGACACACACTGGCACAAAAAAAACTAGCCTCGGAGACAATGAAGAGAGAAAAACAGAGAGAGACTGTATGGGATTGTGCTCTGTCTGCTGTGACAGTGGTATCAGAGGCAATGTTGTTTTTCCCCAGTAGTTTTCCAATATAGTTACTCCATTCACTAATGAATTAAGAGTATGTGAAATTGTGCCAAAGCTAATCCAGTCAAATTCCACCCAGATGGTTAAATCCAATTGCCTGTGCCTTCCCCCACAGTGCAAAAGCTTCCCTGGTACAGTTTGCTTGCTTACTGCTTCTTCATTTGCTAAACAGCAGCTCTGTGCTGTATCGTAGATGTTCCCTCATGCATAATGTGTGGGTTTCTGGCTGCTTCCATGTTCAGATCTTGTTCTATCCCTGAAGAAATAACAAAAATTACAAATGGTTAGGTATGTGTAAAAATTTCAGTATGTCTTTAAAATGCTTCAACCAAAACAATGATCAACCTTTCCCTAACTGGGGGAAACTGCTCATTTCTGTGGTAATTCCAAGCCAGTGAGAGAATTGGCAACAACATACACCTATCTGGGCTATGTACATTTAGGGAAGTTTTCTGACACCTGCTCTTGGGTGTATCACCTTCATCTCTGAATCACCTACTTCGTTTTGTGAAGTAAATGAAAACAGATGGGATCCTCTATTGTTCATGTACTTCAGGTCAGGACACTGACTTTATACTCTGAATTCCTGCTTAGAATAGTAGCTTCTCAGTGGCTGGCAGGAGATTAGCATCCTAATTTATGCACAGGAGTTAAAAGCACGAGGCAGGTAGCCTGAATTCTTTCCCTTGTATTCAAAAGAAATAATGATTTACTCATTACATGTTTCCCTCTGATTCAAAAACACTGCTTACTTTCTAAGAAACAGAAGCGCTATTCACCAAAGAGCTCACTTCAGTTGATATGCAATGTGAATATTTTAAGTTGGGTCACACTAAGCAGTAGCTCCATATATTACATTAATCTTGCTAAGTCTTGGTGTCTTTGCTGTGAGCAGTCACTGCAGGATCATTTTGCCACGTACCACTGAAACGTCCGGCTGCCTCTGTTGACAGCATAATGGTTGGAGTAGGCACTGGAAGGACTTCAGTTAGCTTGTGAGATGGCTGAAAGGATGTTTTTTGGCAAGCACTGGATTACTCCAAGAAAGAGAAGACTGCCTTAATCCTCGAAGAATCAACAGCTAAGCAAAGGGGAAACGTACCACGGGATCAGTCCTTGCACTCCATAAGGGTGAACATCTGAGTGAAGACTGAGACATGATACGGCAATGTATTCTCCTGAGGAACACAGTAAAAGATTCTGCCATCTTGGTTGGGTCGGAATCAAAATAGTTTTGCTGCCACTGGATTTGGAATTACAATAATGAACATAAGTAATAATAAATAATATTATCAGAGTTGATAACTAATATCCCTCGGCTGTTCATCACTGCCATTCTAGTTGATTTGGATGTTAGTATTACAGGCAAAATAAATGTAGGTATTACAATTAACAGAGTATAGGTCATGATTGAGTTGACCAGCCAGATCACTGTTCATGTTGTACACAGACGTTTATTTAAAGTTTTTGCTTAAAATCCCATACAATGATTAACTCTGTGGTAAATTCGGCAAAACAGCATTTTAGACTTAGTCTTAAGTATTAGTAGGACTCCTACTAAACATTAGGTGGCAGTGTGGGGAAGGTATTGCATGACAAATTTCTGTGTGCGTATGAAAGATAACCAGAGTCAAAGCTCCAGATATCACCAATTGTTTATTTTAATGGATTTTTTTAAACCTGTGCTTCCAGTATCATTAGGTTTGCAAGCAGAAAGTAGTTTGGTGATAAATAACATTTATCATTTCTTTGTATCCCAAATAGATAGAAACTGCATCTAAGCAAAACAGTAATCTGCATCTGCTGGTTTGAATAATGTACAGTTTTTGATGATGTACCAAGAAGATTTCAAGAGCAACGTTTAATGAGTCACATCATTAACATTTAATTTATAAAAGTACATTGTCTTCTGCATAGTGAAGATGCTACAGATTTAAAAATGTCTTTATGCAGGAGCTAACCCGTTGTAAACACAGGTACCTCAGTGATGAGGTAGCTCAGTCTTGGCCTGAGTTTTACATGCTTTATAGTATTCCTCAGATGCTGCATAAAGCTCCTCAGGAGGAAAAATTCAGACAAATGCATAATCTTAAACTTCAGAATGGTCTCTAGGCAAATAAAAACAAACAGTGTTTAGAGGCACATTACATCTAAGCAAGTCAGTAATGTACAGCAAACAGTTCTTGCTTTACTGTACCAACATTTATCAACTAATAATTCACATTATATACTGGATATAGCTCTAATAAAGAAGTCAAAAACCAAACATGCTTTCCTGATGTACTTCATCTATCTACTTATCTCAGCTCTTAGAAAACTATACAAGACCATTACTCCAGAAAGGCATTTCTTTGTTTGTCCTTATCCGTAAATATGTACTGTAGCACCTTTGTCATTAGAATGTTCTTCAGCAAGGTCTTGGGATGAAAGGAGGAGTAAAGGTACATGAGAAATTCAGAAAAAATGACTGCAAGAAAGAAAATAGGTTGCTACATAGTGACTACATGGCCACAACTGATGACCACAGGTTTTAAATATTTCGTATTTAGAAACATTTGTAACATCTATCTTTAGAATACTTGGTTTAAACAGTTCTTTGCAATGAAGGAAATATCTTGTCTAGCTTATCGTGTTTGATAAGAGGCAGGAAAGTGAGGAATTATTCCACAGAAGTCTCTCCAGCCCTAGTGAGATGCGGCAAACTTTATTATTCCATTTTATTCCATTATTCCATTTTATATTCTAAGATTTCATTCTGACAAAATTGTGTTTGAAATTTCCTGGTTGCTGCTGATGCCCACCAGAGATTTATTTAAGCATCTCTGTGAGGTGAGCAGAGCTTATGGCAAGGCCTGGTCTGAGAGCAGGGCATGCCCAGCAGCAGTGAATTACTCAGTAGTGGGATGCTACATCCTGTACACGATGGTTCTTGTGAAGCAGAGCACCAGCAAATCCTGAATGTGCTTTTGTTGGGAGGCAAACTGCAGCAGGCACTGAAGTAGAAGATGCTGCACATGCTTGTATTACTCAGATGCAGAGGGCCTCTCCACATCCCTGTTTAAGGTACTGCAAAATTAGTGACAGGAGCCCATGCTCAACAGTTCTAAGAAGAAATATTTCTTTACTACTTTGGTTTGCACCCACTAGAGTACATTCACATCAAGAACATATTGAAGCTAGCTGAAAACTAACATTTTTTTTTCTTTGCAATGCGTGACTGAAAGGATAACCCTAGAGCCTTGTGTGTTGTTATCTCCCTTGAGCAGATCTTACAAGAACATCAGATATCACGAGAAAAGCTGATGCATTTTTTATAAATACACAAACGCTTTTCTGTTCAGAAGTTATTGGTGTAATCATTAGACTGCCATGACTCAGACCTCCAGTAGTCATGAGATTTGCTTAGATTGTGGAGATAAAAGGAAAAAAAAAAGAAAATATTAAAAAAGCTAAGGAGCTATCATCCACGGTCTCCATCTTCAGTCTTACACTGACACCCAACATGGGTTTGGCTGGGAAAGCCCCGAACACAGCTATTCGTAGGGGTGTCCTCAGAGGATTCCTAAGGACCCGGGGACCGGCAGCGAGAGCCGCCCCGGCACTGCACACAGGCACGCCGCTGGGCTGACAGCGCTGCAGCCGCGTTTGGGCCCAGCCCCGAAGTGACACGGAGCGCGGGAGCCGGCCGGCGGCGGAAAGAGGAACGCCGCCGCCAGGGTCGCCCCCCGGGCAGCGGCAGCGGAGGGGCGGCCCTCAGACTCCCGCCAGCTGAGCGCCTCAGAGCGAGCAGCAGCCGGCGCCCCGCCGGGCGGGGGCTGCTCTCCACGACACGCCGCGGTACACAGCCACGCTCCCACGTTGCGTACAGCCGCGCACAGCCGCGCTGCGATACGGGGACACCTGAGAGCTGCGGACCCGGGCCCTCCGCGCCCCACTCAGTACCGCGGGCGGTCGAGGCGCGGGCAGACCCGCACACACGCGGCACGACTCCGCTACCGCCGCCTGCCCGGCGCAGAGGCGTCACCGCCCGCCTGAACCGGAACCGCTTAGCGGAGGCCGCCCGGGGCTGCTGCTGTTGCCGCTGCTGCAGCGGCGGCCGCGGGGGCTGCGGGGCGGCCGCGTGGGT